TTGCGAAAACCCTTTTCTCCCCCTATGATCCTGCGTTTATCTTACAGTAGTGAAAACTCCATGCTATGTATGCTACCACCCTAATACACCTTCCCTCAGATTAACGGACAGGCACAGCCTTCCCAAAACAAAAATGGCCGAGACGCGCGCGCTGACCCACGCGTGACAACTTCCGGTTTCCGTTTCGTCTGCCCAATCAGCGTTGCGCATTGCGGATGCTGCGGATTTCAAACTGTGTGTAATAGGAGCGGCTGGTTTTATCGGTGTCTGTCTGTTATTACTGGCCGTGCGGAGAGCACCGAGCCCCCACTGAGGAGGAATGGCCGCGGAGACACCGGCAGAGAGGTGTGTGTTAGATATCGCCGGGTTATCCGAGCTCAGTGTGTTTACCATCACCACCCGCACACCGTGTGCCCAGTCCCAGGGCTGGCTTTATCGGACTCCCAGGATCAGCACGGGGTGTCCATAAAGAGATGCTGCACTGTGGGGGGGGGGATACAGCGCTGTCCATCCCGGGGGAGTGCTCTGCACAATGCTGGGCGCCGTGTACACCCGGGGGAGTGCTCTGCACAATGCTGGGCGCCGTGTACACCCGGGGGAGTGCTCTGCACAATGCTGGGAGCCGTGTACACCCGGGGGAGTGCTCTGCACAATGCTGGGAGCCGTGTACACCCGGGGGAGTGGCTATAAACATTATGGCACATATACTGACCATGGTGGTGATTAAATATACATTGATGGCTTTTTAGTCCGGTATTATTATTATTCAGTAATTGTATAGCACCAACATATACTCTAGTGCTGTACAGTTGAGATAACAGACAAATAATGAACTCGTACAATGGGATAATATGTAAGTATATAGTAATCTTGCTCGAGTAGGACTGTCCTTATTTCCTTTTGTATGTCAATTATTGTTAAAGGACCATTACAGTGCCAGGAAAACAAACTTGTTTTCCTGACACTATATAGTCCTTAGGTCCCCACCTCCCACTGGGCTGAGGGGGTTCAAACTCCTTCAGCCAGTTACCGTTATCGAGCGCCAGGCTCACTCTGCGCTGGTGACCTCTCCCTCTGACGTCAGCTCCCGAATGCTTTCCTATAGACGTTCTGCGTGCTCAATGCGATTTTCGCATTGAGCATCGCAGAAGCGCCTCTAGCGGCTGTCAGGAAGACAGCCACTACAGGCTGGATTTCTCTGAAACTGCTATGTTTGCAGCTGCAGGGTTAAAACCTGGGGGACCTGGCATTCAGACCACTTCATTGAGCTGAAGTGGTGTGGGTGACTATAGTGGTCCTTTCACATTGTATAACTGTAAAGGTTAAAGGGACACTATAGTCACCAGAACTACAGTTTAGTGTAGTTATGGTGTCTATAGCCGGTCCCTGCAGGCCTTTTAATGTAAACACTGCCTTTTCATAGTGTTTACCATACTGCGGAGGAACACCTCTAGCAGCAGTGACTCAGATGGTGACTAGTGATGCTTCCCGGGTCAGTGCTAAACAATGTGCAGCATTTATGTTAAAGGAACACTATAGGCACCCCAGACACTTCAGTTCCTTGAAGTGGTCTGGGTACAGTGTCCTTATTGCACACACAGTTGCAAGAAAAAGTATGTGAACCCTTTTGGAATGATATGGATTTCTGCACAAATTGGTCATTAAATGTGATCTGATCATCATCTAAGTCACAACAACAGACAATCACAGTCTGCATACTTTTTCCCCCTGCACTGTGAATGTTTACATGGTGTGTTCAATAAAAACACGGCAACATTTCATTCTTTGTGTGTTATTAGTTTAAGCAGACTGATTGTCTGTTGTTGTGACTTAGATGATGATCAGATCACATTTAATGACCAATTTGTGCAGAAATCCATATCATTCCAAAGGGTTCACATACTTTTTCTTGCAACTGTGTGTGTGTGTGTGTGTGTGTGTATATATATATATATTTATTTAGGGATGCACTGAAATTTCGTCTGCTGATCTTTTCGGCCGAAAATAGGTAAAATTTACCAAAAAATAAATATAAGAACAATCCAGATAGCACTCCCAGAAATTGTAGTTAAGATAAAACTTAGCTTTTAATTAGCTGTAAAAATAAATCGACGTTTCAGTCTGTTACACACAGACTTTCATCACGACTAACAAATACAATACAAGTGCTTACCTATATACCAAAATACATACAAACAATTAACTTACCCACCACTGGAATAATCTCCTGCTTCTTGTCAGCCCAGTCCGAATCTTGTGCGGGTTCTGCCGGCGTCAATGTGTGCGTGACATGACGCGGTGTCATGACCACCTCTCATGAGCGGCCGTTCGGCCTCATTGGGAGATCGTTGCTATGGAGACAACCTCCCATAGCAACATATACACAATTAATAACCACTTACACTTTCGCTGGAAACAAGCAGTAAAGATGCATAAATCATCATTCAATAACCGTAAATGATCAGTAACATGAAGAGAGCATAAAGTAACCAATCAAAGTTCAATATAGGGTTAATATCCAAAAAACAGAAATAATGATGCTACTATTAAATAAGAATTGCATTAGCATAGAAGTTAGTAGAAAAGAGACCCCAGGTTGAGGCATTCCTATATACAAAATCAATATCTAGAGAAAGAAGCAGAACATACTGACAACCCAGTATTAAATACTATCTGATGAAATATATAGTTTCTTAGTATATTTGCAGTGATCAAAATTAATTCATTTAAATTTATGTAGACAGAATAGTTTGTGTGTACTAGACTGAGGGTTTCTCTTTCAATTATTTGATTATGCCATATGAATTATCACCCAATTAAGCCTGGTGTTATTTGTACCTATTGGGTGGCTACATCAGTGTTAGCCTTGAGTAGCTATATTTCTTATACTAAATGCTCATCAGGATAATACTTCTTTAAATGACCGTCTTTTGCAATTATACTTCTACCTATTTTAGGATAGATTCTGTCCCCTAGAACGTAGTTTAGAAATGTGTGGAATCACTTACTATGAAATGAAGGCAGTGTTTATTTGGTTGCAGCCTTAGGGTAAGATTCATTTTGTACTAAGAAACTATAGTTTCATCAGTTGCATCAGTTACTGAGCATTTACTGTTACACTTTCCCCAGTGTGTGTGTATATGTGTATGTATATGTAAGTTTCGGAACACCACAACCGACTTGTGCACCACTAACATAACTCTGCTTATTGTCCCCGACCACAAGTGTGTGTGTGTGTGTGTGTGTGTGTGTGTGTGTGTGTGTGTGTGTGGGCATTACTGGCTAGGCACCCCCACTTCAAACCTGCAAAAAACGACTTAAAAATGTACCTGTAATCCAGTGCTGGGCAAAACTCCCGTTGTTGCTGTCCTCTTCTGACATTCCCATGGGCTTCATAGAGAAGTCTATGTTTTGCCAGCTCATAGCACATGCATGCATTCTGTGACAGCGTGGGTAGGGAGTGTGACAAGAGGGATGGGATTTAATAATAATAAAAAAAAAAAACAGACAATGAGACATGGTGTGAGGGAGGCAGAGAGAGTGAACAAAGAGAGGTAGGGAAGAGCAAACTCACGTGTGTCAGGGGTATAACTGGCACCTGCCACAAAAGTGCTTATTTCTCTGTTTGAAGCAGAAATGCTGCACATACAGATAACTACCACTATGACCACTTGACATCACTAAAGAGATTATGGTGTTTGGAGTAACCCTTTAATGTGATTTGTGTAGTAGATGCATAGTCCACTACACAATGCAAAAAGAGTGCTTACCCAAATGAGTTGATGTGATTGATTACAGCATGTTTTGGATCAGTTTGGCTGCATTATACTATCATGAATGAACCATCTGTCAGTTCATATGAGTGTTGTAAATTAAAGGGACACTATAGTTACAAGAACAACTACAGCTTATTGTAGTTGTTCTGGTGAGTGTAGTAATTCCCAGCAGGTGTTTTGCAGTAAACTTTTTTGTTTTTTTTTTGTTTTTTAACTCCTAAGTCCACATCCACTTTATCTATTTCTGGTCAAGTAGGCATGGCTAAATTTCTGAGTCAAAATTAGACTGCACTTCACAGACAAAATATATAACCGAGCAAAAAATAAAAATAGGTGAAAAAATATCTATATCTTTGTGCATTTCCAGCCAGGTTTTGGGTTGCGTTAATTGTAAAAGCTGCATTTCTATAGCTCCCTACCTTTCCTCAGATGTGCTGGCCTAGAACCTGAGATGGGCAGAAACGGTGGATATTATATGTGGTAAAACATAACTAAAATGTAGTTATTAATTTTGAGAGCCAAATTAAAGGGACGCTGACACCAAAAGATAAACTTAGATTCTAATAATAAAGTTGTACAGTGTACATCATTTTGGAAATGTCAAATAATATAATTGATGTCTTTTTTTTTTTTCCTTTTCATTTAGATATTTAATTAAAATGGATGATGAAGATATAAGTGAAAGAAAGCTAAAGATTGCTTCCATTTTAGACAGAGTTAAAAGTTTTAAAACGAAGTATGGAACAGAAGATAACTTGACTGATGAACTAACATTTTCAAAGTCGTCTGCTGATACAACAGGTAGATATCATTTTTCTTCTTTTGTTTTATTGCCTTGGTTTGATTTTCATATTTTCATTATACTATCAATATTTACTACTACTATATGTACACGTGTCCTCCTTGCACACCTCAAACTATATATTTAGCATGTTTAAAAGAACATTGTAGCATTAGAATTACAAAACTGTCTCCCAATGCTATAGTGTGCCCCTGTCCCTAAAGGGGAAAGGGTTTAAAATACAATTTATGAAAACAAGCAAAACCCATAAAGCAAAGGGCTTCTTTTCTGTTTCTGTAAACATATTTTCAATTTAATTGATTATTGTATCTAGTACAGTAATCTGTAGATATGAAAACCTGGACAGTATACAGCTATAAATGTGTGCAGATACCATAACATTAAAACGTATGCAGAAATATAATCCGTACATTGTGTGCAGATACCATAACCTAGTCCCTACTGCCCACTAGTGGGCGTTTTGTGATTTCAGGTGGGCGGTGGTGGGTTCTGTAGAAAACAACCGGTGGGCCTAGATGGCCGTGGACCAAGGCCAGCAGCGGGGATCATTTCATCTCCCCTGCCGGCCCATGCAGAGCCAGCCTTGCTGTAAGCCCTCTCAGACTGGTGATGAGATCAAAAATGTTCCACAGTCTACACATCTGGTGGTCATGCCCTTGCATAACAGCGTACTGGCAGATGATCAACACAAAGATCAAGGAGGTCACCAAAGATGACCTCCACCTACAACCCTTGACGATGCTTTTGCATCACACTGACCCGCTGGTACTTAGTTTCAGTAGAGGGAGGGAAGGGCCTGGGAGCCTCTGTGTTCCTCCACGCGAGCAGCCTGGTCAGATCGTTGCCGTGCGTTACCATGACAGCGCTCCGATACAGTACTGTGCTCGCAGGAGGACAGGAGAGTCTGCCTGCAGCCAGAGGAGCTGCAGGCTAAAGTGAACATGCCACCACTGGACCACCAGGGCTTGCAGCATTATGTACCCCCTACCTGGTAAAAGGTAAGAAGGGAGGGGGAGACATTAAGATAGATTTTCACATCTCATCCACCTACACACAGAATAGACCCTATGCACCTTTCACACACACTACACTCCACACACACAGACTGCCCTGTCACACACTGCACCCCTCACACACAGCAACCCTAACAAACACACACTCTGCACCCTTCACACACACACCACCCCACAAACACACATAGAAAAAAAGTAGAATAGAAAAAAGATACATTTAAGTACATATTTCTCCTTTCTTAAAAAAAAAAAATCATACTTGCGCTATAAAATTAGTTATTGTGGCACTGGTGGGCGGTAAGGAAATTTTACAATCAACAAATATACAAAAGTGGGCGATAGGTATTAAAAGGTTGACTACCCCAGACCTAGACAGAAAGCAACTAATATCAGTACAGTGTGCAGATCATATCTATTACCTAGTTTAGGGAGGGAGACCTGTGGACATAGGAATGTGACGTGCTGACATTCATGCTGGGAGGTGGAGTAGGGAAAGAACGTCAACAGAGATAATGGGCAAAAAAAAAATCCACAAGGAATTTCCCAGCAAGATAAAACGCCATGCACAGTGCTCTGACTTAATGGATTCTGTGGAGAGAGGGGAGACTGTGAGAGACCAGTAGAATGGATTTATTGCAGTGGCTGAAAAAACATTGGTCAGTATGAAGAACGGAGGGAAGTGATATCCCTGGAGGGAGGGGCAAAGGAGGACACAACAGAGAGCAATAAATTAAAGATAGATTCCTGAAACCAGAGGGCATATAAAACAAGCCTATCAGACAGCTGGAATTCAAAGCTCCTGACGTCCGCTCCGAATGCGCGCGCAGTCAAACCGCCTAAAGGAAAGCATTACTCAATGCTTTCCTATGGACGTCAGCATCATCTCAGTGTGATTTCCACACTGAGTATCGCGGAAGCGGCCTCTAGTGGCTGTCAGACAGCCACTAGAGGCTGGATTAACCCTCAATGAAAACATATCAGTCTCTGAAACTGCTCTGTTTTCTGCTGCAGGGTTAAAACCAGGGGGACCTGCCACCCAGACCACTTAATTGAGCTGAAGTGGTCTGGGTACCTATAGTGGTCCTTTAAGAAAGCCATACTGGGATACACTGTATACACAAAAAATACAAAGGATAATGAAAAGGAAAAAAATGTGATAACTCTTACTCAAAGAACTGATGTGATCGAATCAAATATAGCAAACATGGAAGATAGATCAAGAAGACTAAACCTGAGATTCTGTGGCATTTCAGAAGAAATACCATATGAAAAATTAGAATCTCTATGATCTATTTAGATCTTTAGAAGTAACCCTCCCAAAAACAGAATATATCTATCTATCTATATATATATATCTCTAGATATCTCTAGATATCTCTAGATATATCTATATATCTCTAGATATATCTATATATCTCTAGATATATCTATATATCTCTAGATATATCTCTAGATAGAGATATATATATATATATATATATATATTAAAGATTCCATCGCCTCTTTAAAGCAAAAACTGTGACTCCACTCTTATCAGTATAAAGAAAAAATACAAGCAGCCTTCAGTGCAAAACTAAATAAAGATGAAAAATGTCAAGATATTTTAAATATATCAAGATCTCTCAAGCTATACCTGAACATGGAGGAAAAACTTTAGTCCCAATCTCTCCATATTAAGACCACATCAAATAAGATACTTTTGGAATTTCCCTAACAAATTAAAGATCATCTGGAATGGCCAAAAACCTTTAAAGACCCGGACAATACCAAAGATTGGCTCATTAAAAATAAACTAACATAATTACTCAAGCAGCCTTACTCATGAATCATAAATATCAAAGAGAAGAGGACAGTGAAGATAAGAGAAGAAAATCCAAAAATAAAAACAGAACTTTTCCTCTTTTTTTCTCCCTCTTTCTTTAAATTAATGCAATTAAGCAATATGTTTATAAACGTTATTTGAGCACTTAATGTAGTAGAATATATATTACTAAACATAGTTGGTTAAGCAAAAATAAAATCAGAAACCGCTCCAACCATTAGTCAACAAATGGGGAGGCCCCGAATTTTAGAAGGGAAAGAAAGGAAAAATGGCACCAGTGGCACCCAACCTGGCAACAAGGGAAGATGAAAAAGAATATATAAGAAATAAGAGGAATTACACTTTTTTTTTTTCTTGTATTTAATAGCACAAGGGGATTAAGGAGATATAAAAAGTATAACCAATAATCTAGGGGAAATGAAAATAGAGAAATGTAGAATATTTTAGAAAATTGATTTAACAGGCACTTAACAAGAGAACGCACAATTGAAGAAAAAAAATCTTCCTTTTTAAGTTTACGCTAATTAGAATGAAACGATTTAATGTACAATCAAAAAAATATATTAAACAAAAGGAACTTATAAATACACCGAAGTGCACACACCTACACAAGGAGGAAAAGAAACAAAGGGTTAAGGGAAAGAGTGATAGATTTAAGAGTAACACAAGTTTTGTAAAATGAAATGTAAAATAATCAGTTAAAACACTTTAGAAAAATACTCAACAATAAACTGAAAGTGTGTGGGATGTAGATTTACAGGGTTTTCCCCTTTCCCTTTTCCACACACATTAGGAACATTAATATGTACTTGGGTGAATATATATATATATATATATATATATAATCTTTTTCCTATACCAGTAGTATAGATCATCTAACCGCAGTACGCTTTTCCCACAGGACATGTGGGACCTATATCTCAGTAATATTTTGTATTAATCGAGATACTGTATGACGGGGGCTTTCTGCCATACATCACTTTTATCTTGGGTTGAACGTTGCTTGGGATCAATCCATCTTATTTTTATGTAATCACAAATAATGTTTTTTTTACTTTTCTATAAAACTTTGGAAACTCATAGAGAGAGAGAGAGAGAGAGAGAGAGAGAGAGAGAGAGAGAGCATCGAGAACAGACAAGAAAATAAAATTTAAGTTGATATCAATAAATGCCCGGGGGATCAATACACCATGTAAAAGGTCTATAATGGTGGACTTCCTGATAAAAAATCAGGTACAAATTTGTGCCCTGGAAGAACCCCACTGGATAAGATCTAATCAAAATATAATTAACTCATCAAGATACCCCACTATTATAAGTGCGGCTCTAGAATACAAAAAAAAAGAGGCGTAACATTTAAGTTTGAAAAAAAAAAATTATCTCCATAATCATTAATCATCAAGATTTAGAGCTAGATTCTAATATGTGAAATAAATAAGATATTCACGTTAGTTACCATTTGTGCACCAAATAAATCTACAATAAATTTTAACAAAAGCGTTGAAAAAAGAGCAGATTAAACAAGGGTTGGTATTAATTATGGGTAATTTAATTGCGTAGTGGACCCTCTGAAAGACAGAGCCAGAATGACAGAATAAGCAGGAAAATAACTGAAAATTGCAAAACTTACTAAAGAATCATAATCTAAGTGATAGATGGAGAACATTTCATCCCTCCGACCTAGATTACACATGCTATTCTAGAACTTTCAATTCATACTCCAGAATTGACCTTATCCTGGGTAACCTGACCATGCTGTATCTTGTCAAAAGAATAGAGATACAGGATATAGCATGGTCAGACCATAGTCTAATTATGTTGGAATACGTAGATAATTTTGACACATTTTAAAAAGAGTGGCGTATAAAAGAATTTTTTTTTTTTTTAATTACACAAAAAAATGTTGAAAAAATGTAGAATGTAGAAAAAATTATAATATATATATATATATATATATATATATATATATATATATATATATATAGATATATATATATATAGATATATATAGATATAGATATAGATATTATAATTTTTTTTTTTTAATAAAAGCAAAGGCACACTGGATGTCATGGTCTGGTGCGCTTATAAAAGTGCAGCTAGAGGCCATTTGATAAAAATGCCAGCCACTGCAAATAAAAAATGGATTTCCGCCCCTCTTTAAACTGTATATAACATTAAGCGAATATAAGAGGCAAAATTAAAAAAACACCTTCCACACAAATAGCAAGGAAGATTGCATAAACAGTTAAATATTCAGCTAATGAATAAAGCAACCAAACCGTTAGTAGCACTACAATCTAAGTGCTATCTAAAGGGTAACAAGCCAGAAACATTAATGTCTAATTTAAAAAAGGAAACATAAGAGTAATATTTAAAATAAAAGCTAAACAAACCTTTCTAATGACCCCAGAAAAAAAATAGGTAGAGCGTTTCAGAGATTTTACCAGTATCGATATAACCTACCAAAAGAAATATATGGCAAGGAAAAAGATTGAGGAATTCTTCGAAAACGTATCCATGCCAAAAATCCTACCCGACCAATTAAAGCTGATAAACAAGCCTACAACAGAAATAGAGATCAGTAAATCCACAGATAAAGACTGCCCCAGGCCCAGATGGCTTCACAAATTCATTTTATAAACTAATAAAAGACCAACTAAAAGGGGAACGTACCACCATTATCAACTATATAATGAAAACCGTAAGCTGTCCTTGAGAGCTGTTGAGTGATTATTGTCCCTATCCCAAAAGCAGATAAAGATTTTCAACCGATTGGCAATTATAGACCTATATCATTAATACAGTTATTAAAATATTCTCTTCTATCCTTGCAGATAGAAAAATAGTCATACCACATTTACTTAATAATGACCAAGTAGGAATCATACCAGGAAGGTCTTCAATCAACAATCTTAGAAAAATAAACATATTAGAAGAAACAGAGAATAATGGAACCCCTCTATTGCTACTGTTAATGGACACAGAGAAAGCGTTTGACAGGGTTGGATGGGGTTTCATGTTTGCCACTGCTACTAATAATGGTGCTAGAACCTCTTGTGATTTTAATAAGACAAAAAAAAAAATTAAAGGATTTGCAAACTCCTTAGGACAAAGTAAAGTAAATTAAATATTTACGCAGATGACATTTTACTAACTTTAGAAGAACCAAAAATCTCAATCCCAGAGCTTCTGAAGGAGATAAATAAATACGCCAAAGTGTCAGGATATAAAATGAATATAAAGAAATCAATATTTATAGCTAAAAAATTGAACAAAAGGTTAATTTTCTTGTTCAAAACCTTGGGCTCTCAGAAAACAAGGACAGGCTAAAATATTTAGGTATAACATTAACCTCAGATTTAAAAGACCTAGTAGAAGCCAATGTTTTTAACCTTATTAACACAAACTAATAAAATCTTAAGGGATTGGAAAGGTATGGGGATTTTCCTGGTCGAGAAGGATCAATATCCTAAAAGCATATATCTTACCAAAATGGCTGTACCTATGGAGAATGATCCCACAAAAATTTCCAGAAAACTTTTTATCTTGACTACACTCATCCTTTTTTTAAATTTGTATGGGGCGACAAGAAAGCAATAGTTAAAATGAAGGTTTTGGCTACATCAAGGCAGGATGGGTTTGGGGTGCCCGGAAATTTTACAATGCTATCAAGCTAGCTGACTTTTCCATATATTGCTGCAATCCAAGAAACATGATAAAAAATGGAAAAAGCTAAAACCGTGGTAGGAAATTTGATGTCATTATTTTGGGTCCTAGATGTGAACAAAAAATCCATCAAAGGGGCACGAACCAAATCTCAGATACTCAAAGTTAACAAGTTGGTGGGACAAATTCTCAGACAACATAGGTCTCAGAAATAGAATAATAGTTGCGCTCCCTTTTTCTAGTAGCTCAGATATGTTAGACAACATAAAAATAGACACTTGGAAGACTGGGGGGGGGGGGATAAGGGAATTTAAAAATATACTGGTGGAACATGAAATTAAAACCTATCAAATTATGGAGGAATTCAACATTCCCCCAAAGACCCTTTTTAACTTTCTGCGAATTAAGGGCTTTTTAGCAGAATATCTCCTTCAAAATGAGGGGGAGAAAATTACCATCTACTCAAACAAAAAAAATATAAAAACCTAATTGCAAAATGCGCTAAAGTTTTATATACAGATGGAGACACGATAAACCGATAGAACGTATTAATAAATGGGGAAAAAGAACTACAAGTACATATAGGAGAAGAAGAGTGGATAAGCTCTCTAAATAAATTAAATAAATATGTATAGTGCCTAAATCTTACAGAAACCCTGAAATTATTTTTTTTTTAATATATATATATAGCCAAAGTTTAAATGAGTGGAGCAGAGACATGACAGAAATACTTTCAAAGTGTTAAAAACAGTGTTTAGTTGAGTAGACCCAAATATAGCTGGAATAGCTAGGTGTTGATTGTACTTCTAGATCAGCTGGTTTTAAACACTGTGAGAGTTTTTCTGTCATTTCACTGCTCCACTTATTCAATCTTTGGTTTTAATTTTTATATAATATAAATATTTTTATAATCTACTCTAACAAACTTCATTTGGAGAGGATGGAAACCAAGAATCAAACAAAAATTGTGTATTAGTAGATCAGAGGGAGGACTTAATTTTCCAAATATCAAAGGGATCTACCAGGCTAATATTATAGCCCATATATACAGACTTCAAACTAAAATAAATGCAAACCAAAATTGGTATGAAATAGAAAAATCTGAGGTAAATTCTATTTATTTTTTATTGCATGGGACCCCAACATAAATCTAGATCATAAATATTTGGAGAGCTATTGTCTGACATTTGGGCAGGTCTTGCAAGCTTTGGTTAAGATAAAGAAAACATTGAATATGCAAGAATTTATTCCATCTTTTCTCCCTTTAGAATTTTTAGAAAATACCATAAAAGATATAAATCTAAATAATTGGAGAACTTGCAGAACATCTATAAACCAATTGTTAAAAAGATCAGAATTTGGAAAATTCTGACAAAGTAGAAATTTTTCAACTACCATCTATTGAAAAGGTTAATGTTAACAGTTATTTAAACAAAAATATATCATTAGATCTTCTAGAAATTGATTCCAAGCTGAAACTCATTTAGCAATTAATTGTCTTAGTCTATTAGAAACCTATTATAAAGTAGCTAATAGATGGTACATGGTCCCAATACGCTTAGCAAAACTATCAAATGTGAATTCTTCTATATGGTAGAGATGTGGCTTAAAAGAAGGCAATTATACCCACATATGGTGGAAATGTTTAAAGGTCAAGAAATTATGGTTCCAGGTATTCGAACAACTAGATGATATATTCAAAATCAAACTAAATAGAACCCCACAGGTAGCTCTACTTCATATAGACTGGCCACCTTTAAAACTACCAGCTAAACTTTGAATAATTCATTGTTTAACAGCCACTAAATTAATAATAGCTCGAAACTGGATATCACCCCCAAAAAAATTTTGTTTTGAAACTAGTGTTAAAGGATCACTATAGTGTCCTCACCCTCAGGGTCCCCCTCCCGTTTCGCTGAAGGGGTTAAAACCCCTTCAGTAGCTTACCTTTATCTGGCACTGGGGATCTCTCCTCCCCCGCCGATGTCAGCTCCCGAGTGGAGCTGCATGCGCGGCAAGTGCCACGCATGCATTCAAACAGTCCATAGGAAAGCATTTCTCAATGCACGTTGGATGCGAATTTCGCAGCCAGCATCGCACATGCGGCTTTCAGGAAGACAGCCACTAGAGGTTGGATTAACCCTGCTATGTAAACATAGCAGTTTCTCTGAAACTGCTATGTTTACATCTAAAGGGTTAAAACCTGAGGGACCTGGCACCCAGACCACTTCATTAGCTGAAGTGGTCTGGGTGACTATAGTGTCCCTTTAAATCAATTAATTTTCCAAATCCAGATGGACAGACTTACCTGTGGTAGATACCTAAAATCTTAAAAAAAAATTTTTATTCTTTTTTACAGATTTGGGACGAATGGCTAACCAAATTCAAACCAAGTCAATAATAGATCTCAGACCAAGAGATGCACACAAGTCCATTTATAGCCAAAAATTGAGATATAGATGGTTACACCTAGACGCAAATACCTCATGAAGGCACTTACAACCCCCTCTTATTACTCCTTTCCTGACACCATGATAGTTTTCTTTATTTATCAATTATTCTTTTATATAATTTTTTTTTCTCTCTTCCTCTTTATCCCTTGACATAGAAGGAATAATACAAAAAATATTGTGAAATAAAACTGTATTGTTATGTCTTGTGATCAAATGTAAACACTATCTTTTTTTTATTTTATTATAAGATAAAATTTAAAAAATATTACCCAGTTTAGGGGTAATATTACACTGCATTACCCTGTTTTTGAGGTAGTATTACACTTTATTACTCCGTTTCTGTGCTTTTAGATGAGATTATAAAATACAAGCTGTGCTATGCCCAAAACAAAAATGGTGTACATTCTCCATCTCCATGAAGATAGGTTCACTTATATGGTCTCCTAGGATACTGTATGCATATCCATGGTAACTGGACGCAAGGTAGATATATGATATCCTGCCAGTGGTCAGGGGCGGGCTGGGCAGGGAGGCAATTGCCCCCCAGGCCACCCTAAATCCTTTTAAAACCGTCCGCTGCAGGGCCGATCCTAATACTGCAGCCGCCTAAGCACTCTGTTAAGAGCCTCAGGCGGCTGCAGCACAGCTTCTTCCCTTCCCTGTAGCGTGGCCGAGCTCCTCTCCGGTCCACGGTGCGCAGCCGGAGTGATAGGAAAGTGTGCACTTCCTGTCAGTCAGGCTGGGTACAGGAAACAAACTCCTATACCGCACGGAACAGGAGTGTGCACCTTCCTATCACTCCGGCCGGGCACCTCGGACCGGAGAGAAGCTCGGCCACGCTACAGGGAAGGGAGGTGGGGGGAGGGGAGGAACAGAAGGATGGGGGGAGAGTAACAGAAGGAGGGGGGGGGAGAGAGCTGTGTAAGGGGCCCCAAAAAAATGGAGCTGCTTCCAATTCTCCCAGAACATTGAATTTTGTGACCACAGTTGCAAACCGCCTCCAGAGATCCTGTTCTACACCAGACCAGTGGAGCCAAACTGGAGCCCATCATCCTCCTCATCTGGTTGTAAGTAGGCAATCCAGTATATTATTAGTGACACTAATCTATAATTTACCTCGCTTTAAAGGGACATTATAGTCCCCAGAACCACTTCAGCTTAATGAAGTGGTTCTGGTGTCTATAGCCGGTCCCTGCAGGCTTTTTAATGTAAACACACACTGTGAGCAGCACTGGCGTTAGTTCATATGGCAGATCATATGGGTGGGGCATTGTGATGTCACATGGGGGGGCGGCAAATTCAGCTGTTCCGCATGCAGCCACAGGTGGCGCTGTGCTGGGAGAATGTGATTACTCTTTAGTTCCTCCCAGCCTACAGAGCAGCGCATGGGAGAGAGAAGAGGCATGATTTAATCTTACAACAAATCCGTTAAGCAAATCTTTATAAATTTGGGGGGGATCAGCTCTGTTTACACAGTTTATTGGTGTTTACTCTGATGTCTGTATTAATATTGAGAGATGTCTAAGTAGTAAAGTCAGTGTGTGGATGTTGGGGTGTGCACGCTGTGCGGTCACGCATGGTGCCATGACAACAGAGGCGCCTGGCGGCCAACACAGCTCACAAGTTGGGGACACCAGCATATTCAATTTAAACAATTCGCTTGTGTTCCACTGGTGCGCACCAGCAGTAGGTGCAGTCAGATTATATCTTCTCCCTTGTGGTTCCGGCGCTCAGTTAGTGAGTCGGAGCACAGGCTCAGAGATTCTCAGCCTGCGCTCTGACAACAGTCAGAGCCAGAGCCGTGAAGGAGCGGGTCGGGCAAAGAGCTACTGATTAGCATAACATCAATATCCGTTATAAAACCAGGAAAAGATGGGCATGGATGGTGAACTGATTTGGTGGTGCAATGGGCCACTTGACTGGTTTTTCCCCCCAGGCCTAAGGCTGCCAGCCCTCCCATGCCAGTGATTCTCTAAATATATAGCAAGAGCCATCCCCAGATCAGGCTCAGAATCCAGCACTGACATGGCGGCGGTAATGGTAAGTGTGTGTTCGTGCTGGGCGTCCCCGCTGATGGTGAGTGATTGTTTCCCGTTGAGTGTCTCCTGTGAGGGTGAGTGTGCTCTCTGACACTTAGTTCTTTGTGACTGTGGAAGGGCGTATGTTTACGGTTACCTTGGAGACAGTAGTCTGCACTAGCTGGATACATAGTATCGGAGACAAACACTGTGTCTGAGCTGCCAGAGAGCGGGGACAGAGCCTGACACAGCACAGAGTCTCTCTCGCATGATCTAAAATTAATAAAAACAATTGATTTCCGTGATATATATACAATCATTTGCGGTTGTCAGGGAGCTACTAGTAGATTGCTGGAGACTCCCGGACCATCCGGGAGGATTGGGATGTCTGCGCACGTGGGGGGAAGGGGGGGTTGCAATTTTTGCCAGATTTTACCCTTTTTCGGCCGAATAGGATAGGACTCTTTTTTTTGGCTGGAAATTTCGGTGCCTCCTTAGTTTTTACTCACACGTTTTGAAAATACTTGAAAATAAAGCTTTGTAAGTTTAAAAATAACCTGGCTCCTAGATTCAAAAACCCTCAGTTTAGTAGATATACCCCAATGAATACATACATGTATATTTTTATGCTTGTATTCATTGGGGGTATAGCCTAAAATAGATTACAAAAGCTGCAGTTCTTATGACTGCAGCCTTTGTAAGCCCCTCCCCCCTTTTCCCCAAAAGAGACTTTTTCAGTAGAGCGTGCCTGCCACTTCCCTTGGCTCATGGGAGCTAACGGAAGTAGGAAGGAATCCTCCCTTTTATATATTTATATATTTTTTTTTTATATAAACATAAACTGGGGTTAAATGAGGGTACTCCTCACCCATAAAGCACTTAAGCAATCTGAAGTTCTTTTGGGGTGTGGAGTGGTCTTTTAAGACTGATAGAAAAAGGTGCAATGTATAACATAAATTAAATAAAGATATGGGCAGCTACATAAATCCACAAGCGACTAAAACTGAGTGTAAGCTCATAGATCAAAAGGTATGTGCGCTCGTCAATATAATAAAATAGAGAAACCTATAAAATGCAAATATACATTTATTAATATAAGACTTGTATATATGTGTAAATAATATAAATCAAACATAAAATCATGACCACACTAATCTAATGCTGGTTGACAGGAAGTGATCCTAAGAGAGGCAAATACAGCCATACAAATATAGATACAAAAGTAGGCAGTAGGCTTGAGAAAGTCCCGTGGGAGGGATGAAACGCGTAGACTCGCTACACCTGATTGTTTGATCCTCCGATCTGCTGTTGCTGGGAGTGCCTTATGAACTATTGAGAGTGAGAGCGTTTTGGCGATTACAGCTACTTCACGATCCCTGTAGGGGGGTTGGTCTTTTTACACCGCAGGCTTTTTTGAAGATACCGGCCACGGTGTAACAGTTCATCTTTTACTGACGGATCATCACTAGTTTTCGTTGGGAGTGTGTTTCCATCACACCGCGGTCTTTTTAGAAGATCCCGACCGCGGTGCAACGGTCAATTCCCCCGGGGGTCTGCTATCCGCAATTGTTCACCGCTCCATGTATTTATCATATCCTCTCAAGGTTTCTATCATCATTTTTTATTTATACCTCGGTGGGGGCCCACACCGAGGCAAGGTTCTTTTTGTATACATGTATAGGTTTTTTATTTTTAGTTACATTGTAGGCATTTGGATCCTTAGACACTTTGTTTTATACATTGTGTCTATGGTGGTTTCATCTGCCTACTTTTGTATCTATATTTGTATGGCTGTATTTGCCTTTCTTAGGATCACTTCTTGTTAACCAGCATTAGATTAGTGTGGTCATGATTTTATGTTTGATTTATATTATTTACACATATATATCTTATATTAATGAGTGGTCTTTTAAGCCATAATGTATCGAACTCCATGATACAAAAAAAAATTACCTTTTTATTTAGTAGATTTTCACTATCACCTCCACATTGAGGTTGTGGGACCCAATCAATTATCTGTATCTTTAATCGTGAGATGTTCAGTCTTATTTCCTCAGTGTTGGGTAATTGGTATGTGACGGAGCTCCTATACTCAGGCCAAGAATCCCTTCTGTTCTGGGACAGAGTACCCAAAGTGATTATAGCTTGCCCCAAGAATTATCTGAGGCTTAATGAAGGGGGGTGCTTCCATTCCTTATAGAGAGTAAACCCTTAGCCTGTAAGGAAAACATATTTTGTTTCCTGTGAACAAATGAATTCGGCTAATGAATGAGTGGCAAAATCGACATCCGGCTTTAGCAGCTTTGGGAAGCCAGAGGTTGTAACCATGCTGCACAGATGACCAAGAGGGCAAACTGTTGTATAACTATTACCGGGATACTCCTACATTCATAGACACTAGTGTGGACTGTAATGGTAATGATGGCTGTAGTAACACTTAAAGAAAATACTTTTCATAGTTAGTACAATTTCCACCAATAAAATGAATGCAACTAATTTTACTTTTGGAACTTTTTCCCCTTTAGGGTAAATTTATTTTATGTGCTATTTATAAATGATTGGCTTGTGGTATTGCAGCTGTCATCTTATTTGTCATACAACTTGAATTTGCTTTTAACCTTACAATATTATTTCTTCTTTAAAGAGCACACTGGCATCTTCAACCATCTGCTAACCCTTAAAGCACCCGAGGAATGGCTGCGGTTTTTAGTGAAAATGGAAAATTCAGGGTTACCCCAGACTGACAGGATGCTGCTCAATAAACTGATTGAAAATTACAGCCGTGCTGTTGGGGCTCTTCCTGCAGAAAAGCACAGTCACAATGAGAGCTATGCCCAGATCCTTGTGCGTTTTGCAGAACTGAAAGCGTAAGTGTGAATATATAATTTTCAGACAGCAGCAGTGCAAGGCTCGAAGTGTAATTTTGTTTCTCTGCATTTGCACACAGACATTTGAAATGGTAATAGCAATATATGTGGGATTCACTTCAGGAGATTTGAGAATACTTGATTACCAGCAAGATTTTACTTAATTATCTTGATTGTTCTTTAGTTGTGATTTGAAACAGAGATAATTTAAGTGATCTATACTTTTACATTGAAAAAATTTCTACTTGACTAATAAATTTATTGAGTTAATTTTTATCTTTCTACAAATTGTAATCAGGTTAATTGATCCAGAAGAAGCACGTGAACAATTCCAGTTGGCAAGATTAAATTGCAAGAAATTTGCTTTTGTGCATACAGGTTTTGCGCAGTTTGAATTAGCTGAAGGTAAGTGAAGACTGGTTTTATGATGGATTTATAACGTTAAACCCCTTGCCTTTCTCATGCACTAATTACTATTCTAAAACCTGAGTTTTTTGTCGTTCCAATGGCGTTAGGATTAGTGTCTTCAGGACCATAGAGCACTGGGTAGAGGTCATACTTTCACTCCACCACTACCTGAGAGTGTCCAAATTAAGACTAAATTCCATAGAGTAGGTTTAAGCACTATGGCAAACATGAAATGTAAACTAGCAGAGTAGGATGGTTGCGGTCCAGGGTATTCTCTGTGTCAAAACCAGACGGCAAAGAATTGTGATATGGAACTGCCAGTCAAAAAAATGGGTATGAGCACAAAAGGTCAGACTAGCCTCAAGGCTTTATGGAAATGCCATACTACGACACACATGCTCGATGTGTGAACACACTGAATGTCAATAGACAAGTTGTACTTACATCCACTGTAGGTGCCTTAGGGTAGTGTTGCACAGCCTTGAAGCTTTACCAGTGCATGTGGTTGCTGTAACATCCACATAGAATACCAAAAAGAGGGAAAGGGTGTATGTAGGACTCTGTATAGTGCAAAGTAGCACCTCCATATGTTTTATCCATGACACAGGGTTTAGTGTTAGGAACATTAACATGTTGGACTTCCTGACTTTTTTTATTTTATTTTTAATTCTTTATTTTTGTTGTGCGTGGGGTTACAGACATATCAATAGGCGCCACAACAGCGTCTCAGGATTCACATAGATTAGACAATGGCATGGTAATTTGCACGTTTTTATAGTTTACATGCTTGACTAAATAGTTATTGCTACAGCATGAGATTTAGCTAAAGTAGCTAGCTTATAGAGAAACAATAAAACATAAAACATTAATTATTGATAACTTTGTGTGTACGGTTAGTCGATTAGCATCAGAGAGAGTCAGCTAGTGGCACATGGTATAGGTCTAGCTCGCTGCGCTGCTTATAAAACCTCCATTAAGAAACAATAGGTGGTCGTAACTTAAGTCTTGGTTCTATCTGGTTCTATTAACAGTGTTTGAATGGTTTTGCAACTAGCTTGTCACATAAAAAGTATGAATTCAGCTTAAACCTTAGCTGTCCTTTTCCTTTCTCTCCTCCCATCTCCCTCCCTTTCTTCTTTCAAACGTTTGCATATATCTGACGCTTGGTGTTTAGCTTTCGAGGGGGAGTATAAACAGTGGGTTAAAGTAACTTAATACCTGCTTCTATCCAATAAGCAATAATAGAATGGCTGTGCACCTGGTTCGACATATTAAAAGTGCTATATCGGCGGCATATTCGGCGTTTCCCATTTTCTTTTCACGTCTCCTCTTCCCCTATTCCTTCTTGTCCCTCCTTCTTCCCCTTCCTTCCTTCTCTCCTCCTCCTATCCTGTTTGCTATTCCTTAAACACATGTAAGTAAGTATAAGTGAGTTGGGGCGGTGCTGTGATTGCGTAACATTAGTAGTAATATGCTAGAAACATTTACAAGTGATGTTACATATCCATCGCTTTGTGGCATTATGTTAGTTATGTTGTATGTATAAAGCCTATAAATGGTAGGGTGATGCCCCATCCATGCTATGGGTAAACCGTTTAGTGTAATTGCCTGGCGTTAGTTATAACAGGGTAGAAACATAAACATATGTCGTAAAATAACCCGAGCTTTTTCTGGTGCTGGGGTTGCTATAATCCTTTATATAAAATCTATATATATCAATGTTGTTATCGATGGGCTACTGCTATTCTGTTTTCATGACAGGTATAGTGCATGAGTGAACAAAACAGTATGCTTAGGTGATGAATAGGTACCCAAGATGCGTTATGCCGCTAGGCCAACAGTCCCATATCAGAGTCTCTGAAAAATAGAAGAGAGGAGAAAGGAAAAGAAAAAGAAAAAAAAAAGGGGGGGAAGGGGTTGTGAGTCCTGGGTGTTACTTGTTGCCCCCATCAGGCATGGTAATCCACTGTAGCCAGGTGCCGGCCGGTGTCGCTGCTCCACTTAGGTGGTGACCGCCGCATAGGTGATTGGTGTAGGGTTTCGAGGCACGAATGGTGCGCTGTTCGCCGGGTCCCAGCTGGTATTCGGTGTGTAGGGAGCCCGGAGGCCCGTTTGGAGGAGCGAGTCCCAGGTTAGGCCCAAGTCCCGTAATAGCTCTGTTGCGTCTGGTGGGTCATGAATTTGGTGGGTGGTCTCGCCCCTTTGCACGATGAGTGTGTGAGGGGACCTCCAGCGGTACGGGATCTGTCGGTGTTGGAGTGTGGCGGTGAGAGGTCGGAGCAATCGGCGCCACACTAATGTTCCCCCTGACAAGTCATTATAAAAAGTGAGTGTTGCGTTCCTGAATTTCACGGGAGTTTTCCCCCGGAGGGTGTTGAGGACCGTTGCTTTGTCTCTGCCGTTCTTAAAAGTCAGGATTGTGTCCCTCGTGCTAGTCGCTGGGGCCCCAGTGGGCTTTGGGATCCTGTAGAGATCTGTGGGTTCGATAGACGTGTTTGGGCCCGGGGGAAGTATGGTGGCCAAGAGGTTTCAGATTGTGTGTGGGAGCTCTGCCTCTGGTGGTCCCTCCGGGATCCCCCTGACCTTAATATTATGTCTCCTCCTCTTGTCTTCTTGGACATCCAAGCGCCGTTCTAACAGTGTGTGTTTGCTGTGCAGCTCATGCACTTCGCCCTGCAGTGCGGTGATGGCGCGCTGGTGATTTTGAGAGGAGTCTTCCAGCACGGTAGTACGGCCTGTCAGGCCCTGCAGCTCTCCTCTAAGTGCGGAGATGTCTGCGAGAATATTATTCTGCAGGTCTGCCAGTAAGGCTTTCAACACTCCGGTGGTGACTGGGTCTGCATCGGGGTCCGACCTTGGTTTGCCCGGTGTGTGTTTCACTATTGGGGTTGGCGTGAGGGGATATTCCTCGTCCGCGTCCTCTGAGTATTCATCAGAGAAATCTGTGCAGCCCCCGTGGAGCGCCGCCATATTGGCTTCGCTCGGGCCTCGTGCTTGCCTCCACATGTCTCCGATTGTGAGCCCCGGGGCTGGATTGTCCGGTGATCTTTTCTTATTTTTGCGCCCCATGGAGCCTGCTGGGATCCTGCGTGGAGTCTGCTCGCAGTTGGGGTAAGTTTGGTATAAATTAGGCATAATTTCTTCGTTTGCAGTACGGAGCTCCAGGGTTGTGCGACCGTTCGCCTCTGCTGCTTGGCTCCGCCTGACTTTTATTATATAAGCATAGTCTTAAAAAGTCTTCAAAAACATTATTATTCGCTGCACATCACACAACCCAGGCAGTGACAGTATGTCAACTGTGTTGTATTAACAATAAACTAGCTAAATTGTCTTTCCATTTATATGTGGAGTGTCTCTAATAACTGTCACAAGTGCACACTATTCCAAGCAAGCTTACACCTTGGTTCAATAGTGAAAAGGTTAAAATCACTATTTGTCTGCACTAAACTGAAAATAATATAAATTTAAAAAAATAATCCTTATTAACACCAGCTATACATAACGCTACTATTAAACCTGTCCCTCCCTGAAGCCACCATTCTTTTCCATTCGCTCTAGTACTTCGTATACCAGGAGCTGACGGCTCTGTCCTCTCTCACAGATGCATTGAGATATTTGAAGGATGCCGCAGGAACCTCCTTTGAAAGAGCATATATAATATGCACACTCTTTTTCTTTTTGGAGAAACACATTAAAAAAAGCTTTCTATTGAGGATGGATTTATTTATTATTATAATACAGCTGTCACTGGTGACAATTGGGGGAACAATAAGTTTGACAAAAAGTAGCTGTACATTTTTTTAAATTTTTTTTCAAGCAGCTTTGTCTCAGTGTATCTTTAATCTGTTCAATGAAATTCCAACACAATCAATCTAAGCATGGTCATTGATATGGGGTTGACCGCTGCTTTTATATTTATTATTGACCAACAAATCATTTACACCAACAGTTAAAAATAAAAAGGTGAACTAGAGTAATCCTGATTATCCCCCTCCCCTTTCATATGTATCTATTTCCTTATGCTTTTCACATCTACTCTGAGGCTGAATAAACTCTCCTAGCTGTGAGGTGTGCTCAATGATGCACCCTGACCAAGTTTATAGTAAGTTTATAAATGTTTATTACATATTTTTAAAAGTTTTTTTTTTTTTGGTTTGTATACTTGTTTAAGAGTATCTACTTGCTAGTTTAAAAGAAAATTGTCAAGTGATGCATGTCCCTTTTTAAAATTTGAAATTCACTTTGAATTCTCATTTTAGTAAATAACAGGCATGGCCTCGGTACCCTCTCGATACCCAGGGATTTCCCGGCTTGGCTGAATTGATAATGCAGAATTAAAACATGAGTTAGTAGGACACTCACATAGAATCAGTGTCATCTATATTGAAGGAAGTTTTTATGGATGTGTTAATTCTAGAATATTTATATAGGTTGTTTAAGAAAAAAAGAGGTACTATTTTGTTTTTTGGAGTAAGTTATTTATTGTCACAGTGTATCAAAAGGCAAATCTTCAGCCAGCTACATAACGTCATTCACGTGCTTGAAATGTTCTTTTTAAATTCCTAAACTATAGATAACCTATAGCTGGTTACTTTATGCACATCACAATTTATGACTACATGTGATATGAACATGATGCCATTTTGAAATATCCATGTACTAACTCTGTCACTCTCCTGCATAGTTTTATATGGGTTAGAAATCAAGACTATGCTTTCTTTTATTTGTTTTGTTAGGCAATTCTAAAAAAAGTAAGCAGATTCTACAAAGAGGAATGGATTGTGGTGCTATTCCAACTGAAATGCTCGAACTGGCAATGAAAAACCTACGATTAAAGAAATCACAGCTTATTTCAGAAGAAGATAAAGAGAATTTGTCAGGTGAGCAAACACTAACATGTATGTGTTTGGGGTGAGAGCATGTCCCTGGTTCTTATTTTTGTTCCTTTTTTCTTTGCAGAGTTCTCAAGTCAAAGCAGTCAAGACTCAGGCTATCAGAGTTGTATCATTCAAAATACCCAAAGAATAAAGAGTGACAGTTCAGCGGAGATCTCTCTAAAGATGAGGAGTTACTATGGGTACTTAATTTATATACTTTGTATGATAGCTTAAAGGAAAAACACAAGCAGGAAGAGCAGCCTCCAGGCTGTCTGACAGCCATGAGGTTCATCCTAGCCACTTTATAAAAGTACATTCTTTCTTTCGAAATTGCCACTTTTACAAAGTAACAAGGGTGGACACAACAATCTGATGTACTTTAGGAGTTTGGAGTTTTCTTTTGTGGCCCTCTAGCATGTAAGCTCATCGAGCAGGGCCCTCAACCCCCTCTGTTCCTGTACATCAGTGGTCTGATCTCAATTATTTGTCTGTTAGTCCACCAATTGTACAGCGCTACGGAATTTGTTGGCGCTATATAAATTATAAAATAATAATAATGAGAAAATATAATTTAAACAAGCGGGACGTTTCCATTTTAATGTAGTTTTTGTTTTGTTTTTTAAATAAATGTAGCAGGTCTTCTATACATCTAATAATGCTTAATAGGGCATTAAAAATTGATGATTCTAAGGACCGGGTTGTGATTAGCACTTGGATATCGTTTGTTAATGGTTGTTTTACTGCTCTTTCAATAAACTAAGCCATGATGTTGTCATTTACAGAGATCGGTTTAGTTCTCCCGAAGAATGTGATGAAAGTGGGAGGAAGCCTTTAGTGAACATGCCTAACAAGGTAATTATCACTTTGATATGATCTCACAGCAGCTATATGTAAAATCTCTCAATACTGCAAGGTGTTCATTGTGTTTTCCTTTCATTGTGTTTTCCAAGACATGTCCAGTTGGTAGAGTACCTATACATCTGGTTACTTCCCCAGACTCCCCATCAAAACAAGAAGCTCCCCCTGTTGTTAAGAAGTAAGTGTCTATAATTAAGATGTGCATGAGTATGTGGGCAGCTGTCTGTGTAGTGGAGCATGTGTTTAAGAATCAGTAATGAAACCCATTTTACTTGTCATAACCATGAAGGACCACTATAGGCACCCAGACCACTTCAGCTCAATGAAGTGGTCTGCGTGCCAGGTCCCCCTCGTTTTAAACCTGCAGCTGAAAACATAGTTTCAGAGAAACTGCTATGTTTACACTGCAGGGTTAATCCAGACTCTAGTGGCTGTCTCCCAGTCCGGCACTGGATTAAGGTAAGCAAATAAATGGTTTACCATTTATTTGCTGCAGAACAGGGCCCTAGTCACCTAAACAGGAACTAGGGCTCTACAGCGTTAGGAATACAAAATTTGTATTCCTAACACTATAGTGTTCCTTTAATAACATTCCCACTGTCGTTTTAATGACTAGTTGATGTTCTAAACTCTTACCTTGTTAAAATTTTTTATCTTTGGGAAAAGTGATTTTACTTACACTACAAGAGGTTTAAGAACTAAAAGTAATCCAAAAAGAAGTTCGGGCACACAGAGTGTCATAAGTAGGCACATTTATTGGGACTAAGCTACTTTGTCTTATGATTTAAAGAGAAATGGATTAGAAATGAAGAAAAGAACTGATTTAAAAAAAGAAAAACAATAGGAGAAAATTAAGTTTGAGGTGACAGAGCTACTTTTAGCCCAAAAGTGGTACACCAGGGCTCGACAAATCCCAGGCCATACTGGGCTACTAGAAATTTCGCTCTGGAGTCAGGGATGTCATCCCTTTAGTTAAGGCGTCCCCTCGAGGGAGCATTGAACCCGGCCGCAGCGGGATGATCTCAGGCAATCCAATGCTTTCCAATAAAGTATTGGGAGGCTATTGTGCATGCACTACAAAACTCTGCGCCAATTCACATCTCCTCATAGATATGCATTGAATCAGTGCGTCTCTATGCAGAGTGTGGAGATGCTGAATGTAGGTGCTGCACACTGTGCACCACTGACACAGGAACATCTCTAGTGGCTGCCTGAGTGACTACCATTAGCGGTGTCACTTGGAAGCAATGTAAACAATCCCATTGAAAAGCCTGCAGGGATGGGATATAGGCACCAAAACCACTACATTAAGCTGTAGTGGTCCTGGTGACTATAGCGCCCCTTTAAGAAATGTATTTTTGTCCTTGAAAATAAAGCTTTTGTAAGTTTAAAAATAACCTGGCTCCTTACTTTTTTTTAACTGGCTCCTAGATTCAAAGCAAATTTGTTAAGCCCTTATTTAATCACTTATCATTGTACCGCAAAATTACTTTCTCAAATTATTTTCATATAATGGAATCTTCTTTTTAACATAGTTGCTCAACAATATACCAGCTCAAATACCTGATGATGCATAAAAAAATATTAATAAGAAAAACATAATGGCCACTCAAGAAGGTTCTCTCTAGACAAGCAAATAGAAAATCTCAAAAGATCTAATTTCCACGTAAACTTTACAAAGTAACAAGGATGGACACTGCAAGGTGATGTACTGTAGGAGTTCGAAGTTTTTATGGCTCAAAGAGAGAATAACTCCACCATGAGAAAATATAATTTAAATGAGCCGGACATTTCCATGTTAATATACACTGCTCAAAAAAATAAAGGGAACACTTAAACAACACAATGTAACTCCAAGTCAATCATACTTCTGTGAAATCAAACTGTCCACTTAGGAAGCAACACTGAGTGACAATCAATTTCACATGCTGTTGTGCAAATGGGATAGACAACAAGTGGAAATTATAGGCAATTAGCAAGACACCCCCAATAAAGGATTGGTTCTGCGGGTGGTGACCACAGACCACTTCACAGTTCCTATGCTTCTTGGCTGATGTTTTGGTCACTTTTGAATGCTGGCGGTGCTTTCACTCTAGTGGTAGCATGAGACGGAGTCTACAACCCACACAAGTGGCTCAGGTAGTGCAGCTCATTCAGGATGGCACATCAATGTGAGCTGTGGCAAGAAGGTTTGCTGTGTCTGTCAGCGTAGTGTCCAGAGCATGGAGGCGCTACCAGGAGACAGGCCACAGTACATTAGGAGACGTGGAGGAGGCCATAGGAGAGCAACAACCCAGCAGCAGGACCGCTACCTCCGCCTTTGTGCAAGGAGGAGCACTGCCAGAGCCCTGCAAAATGACCTCCAGCAGGCCACAAATGTGCATATATCTGCTCAAACTGTCAGAAACAGACTCCATGAGGGTGGTATGAGGGCCCGACGTCCACAGTTGGGGGTTGTGCTTACTGCCCAACACTGTGCAGGACGTTTGGCATTTACCAGAGAACACCAAGATTGGCAAATTTGCCACTGGCACCCTGTGCTGTTCGCAAATGAAAGCAGGTTCACACTACGCACATGTGACAACCTGGAGATGCCGTGGAGAACGTTCTGCTGCCTGCAACATTCTCCAGCATGACCGGTTTGGCAGTGGGTCAGTAGTGGTGTGTGGTGGCATTTCTTTGGGGGGCCGCACAGCCCTCTGTGCTCGCCAGAGGTAGCCTGACTGCCATTAGGTACCGAGATGAGATCCTCAAGCCCCTTGTGAGACCATATGCTGGTGCGGTTGGTCCTGGGTTCCTCCTAATGCAAGACAATGCTAGAGCTCATGTGGCTGGAGTGTGTCAGCAGTTCCTGCAAGACGAAGGCATTGATGCTATGGACTGGCCGTCCGTTCCCCAGACCTGAATCCAATTGAGCACATCTGGGACATCATGTCTTGCTCTATCCACCGTCACGTTGCACCACAGACTGTCCAGGAGTGGGCAGATGCTTTAGTCCAGGTCTGGGAGGAGATCCCTCATCTGCCACCTCATCAGGAGAAAGCACAGGCGTTGTAGGGAGGTCATACAGGCACGTGGAGGCCACACACACTACTGAGCCTCATTTTGACTTTTTTTAAGGACATTACATCAAAGTTGGATCAGCCTATAGTGTGTTTCCAAATCCAGACCTCCATAGGTTGAAAAATGTGATTTCCATTTTTTAGTTTTTGTGTGATTTTGTTGCCAGCACATTAAACTATGTAAAGAACAAAGTATTTCAAAAGAATATTTAATTCATTCGTTATTTTTGTGTTCCCTTTATTTTTTTGAACAATGTAGATTTTTTTATTTTCAAATGTAGCAGATCTATATGCATCTAATAATTCTTAATAGTGCATTATATATTGTTGCTTCTAAGGACCAGATTGTGATTAGCACTTAGATATCTTTTGTTAATAATTTAATAATTGTTTTACTGCTCTTTCAATAAACTAAGCCATGATGTAATTTACAGAGATCGGTTTAGTTCTCCCGAAGAATGTGATGAAAATGGGAGGAAGCCTTTAGTGAACATGCCTAACAAGGTAATTATCACTTTGATATGATCTCACAGCAGCTATATGTAAAATCTCTCAATACTACAAGGTGTTCATTGTGTTTTCCTTTCATTGTGTTTTCCAAGACCTGTCCATTTGGTAGAGTCCCTATACATCTGGTTACTTCCCCAGACTCCCCATCAAAACAAGAAGCTTCCCCTGTTGTTAAGAAGTAAGTGTTTATAATTAAGATGTGTAGGAGTATGTGGGCAGCTGTCTGTGTAGTGGAGCATATGTTTAAGAGTCAGTAATGAAACACATACATTTTACGTGTCATAACCTTAATAACATCCCCACTGTCGTTTTAATGACTAGTTGATGTTCTAAACTCTTACCTTGTTAAGCTATTTTTTTCCTGACCTATGGTGGCAGTACACTGTGGATGTACTCTTCCCATGGGACAAGCATCTGAAATTAAAATAAAAGTTCCTCCCCAATAGGTATAAGACATCGACCTGCCATGGACCCTCGGTTCTCTTTCTTGTTCCATCAGGAACAAACGGAATCTGTATTCTTGCGGTGAGGCACATGGGTTGCTGCCTGGGGGATAGCCTCCCGGGTGGAGAGCTGAGTGGCCTGTGTTCATCCTGCAAAGTTACGGAGCAGGTATGTGTAGTTGGCGTTATGCCGAGTCACCGGCAAAGCAAGTAGGTCGTCTCAAGCGGCAGCAAATCACTGCCCGAGCGAGACGCATGCGCACAGCGGTGGAACGCAGGCCCGGGAGGTGATGCGCTCCACTGGAGTTCCAGTGCGCATGCACGGTCGGAATTCCCGGAAATGGCACTAAATTTGAAAAATTGGTGCCTATTTAAGCTGTGCAGATCCTACTGACCGCATCGATGCTAGCCAGCAAGGATCTCCCGTGTCACCAGTCCCACATGGGTCAGAGGTTTTAGAGATGAGATGTTTTCAGTCTCAAATCTTTAAGATCTGTGTCTATTCTATTTGGCTTATATTTATACAGTTTTGTAATTTCTTTATGTATTGCAGATATGTCTAGTCCTGTCTCTCCAAATATTATGGATAAAGACAAAGTGCCTGCTCCTGTTCCTTAAAAAGCTAATTATAAATCGAAACATCTGAGTTGTAGCGAATGTTCCACACCCTACCAGATGGTACAAAAAGGAACATCTGCAATCAGTGTTGGTCCTTATCGCTGGATAAGTTCAAGCAACAGGACATGAAGTAATTTTTCTTGATAATCTGGCCCAAACATTTAAGTCATTCAGAGCTACCACTAAGTCAAATGTTACAGCACCTGTTAAAGATACAGCTAAACAGAGGCAAAAACGGAAGAGATCTTCTTCTAGATCAGAACTGTCTTCACGCAAATTTTCTATGTCTTCCTATTTGGAAACTTCCAGCGATTCTTCTCTGATAGAAGTCGGTTTCCCACATGAAGAATTAAGAAAGTTTATTAAGGAAGTTAATGTTGCCTTCCCTGAAGAAGTATCAGAAAAAGCAAGTAGAAAAGCCCTACCAATCAACAGCAGATTTTGGAGCTCATGTACAGGGAGTGGAAAAACCCAGTGTGGCAAACTCCCTTTTTCAAGTGAGTTTGCCACAAGTTCCTGGAGGAGCCTGCTTGCCAGCCTCCTGCCCACAGACTATGGACCTTTTAAAAAAAAGTCTCAGTTCGTGTGTTTGAACTTTATGGTTCGGGAACCAAACAGCCGCACGAACCGGAGACCACCCTGGTGCTTGTTAAGCCTAATTGATACTTTGTAACAATTTCCATCTCCGTGTTCTAAGTGTTCGTCTGGGTGGCCGCAATTCCTATGGACGACCACAAGGTGGCAGCCATCTTGTTCGCATGAACAAAGGCAGCAGTGTTTGGTCGTCGAGTTCATGGAACTATTTTCGGACACTGAAACTCCCAAACACCGCTGGACTTGAATGATGGCCTGTGTTCAGTTTTATAACACTTAGGAAGACACCGTTAGGTGAAAACGTTCTCATGAACAAGGGGATCAAGCTCCAGGGTAAGACTATTGACTATGTTCGGTAGTTTGTTCGTTTTTAAACTTCCGAACTAGACCGACCACAAGCCCTGACTCTCTGGAACCGTTTTGGGCATGGGACCATGTGTCCAGCCGGTCAAATTATGACTTCCAGGAAATTCTTGAACATCTGAACCGATCTGGGTGATTTTTGTATATGTTGGTCACCCAGATCAGGGCTATCTAAGCTTTTGTGCTTTTGAGGGGTGTTTTTTTTTTTTATGCCTGGAGATAAATGTTTTGTACAGTACTTGACTCTATTATCTCCCAGGCACAGAGGAAGGATTGTCTTGTTTTGTATGGGAATGTCCTGGACCTGAGAGCCAAAGTAATCGTGTGTATGTTTTTACTGTAGTCTACTTTCAGGTCCAGGGGGGAGTGCTTCTTGCACGGGGGCCTGCATATAAAGCCAGTTGTGGCTACCATTAAACTTATTCCAGCTTGTACTTCCAGAACTATGTGTCATCTGGTTACTGGGAGGGGAAAGGGCTAATCACTGTTCCAGCGTGGAGGATTCATCGGATACCTGGAAGCCCAGATGCAAGAACCGTTCAGTCACTAATATCTTTCAAAAAGGAGATTTTATGGCAACGTTGGATTTGAAAGATGCCTACCTGCACATACCTATGGACGTACGATCAAGAAAGTATCTGCGATTCGCCGTAAGAAAGATTTGTAAGGTTCATCACTTTAAATTCAAAGCCCTTCCATTCAGTCTTGCCTGCTCCCAGGATTTTTACAAAGGTTCTAACGCCTATCACAATGTTCCTATGGGAACAAGGAATCAGTTATTCCGTACTTGGACGACTAGTTCATAAAGGCAAGTTCCAGAGACATTCTAGAGACGGATGTGGCTGTAAACTCTCAAAATCCTAGAAGAACATAGTTGGGTGATAAACTAAGAAAAGTCTCATCTGCATCCTACAAAGTCAATTCCGTTTCTGGGTTTCTTAATCAAGTCAGACACTCTTGCCATCCACCTGACTGCAAAAGAAAGATAGAGAAGCTGATAAAAGAACTCCAGAGAGAACCATAATATTCTGTGAGAAGAGGTATGCAGATTTTGTGACACCTCACTTCCACTAGCCCAGCAGTAAAATGGCATTTGCAGTGGGAAATTCTTACAAAGTGGTCAAAGAAAGAAGAATTGGATACCTTGATAAATATTTCAGATCCTGTAAGAAAACCACTAAATTGGTGGCGAAGGACAAGTTTCATGTCGAGGTCTATTATTTCGACCAAAGGAATGGATCATAATCACCACAGACGCTTCAAATACAGTTTGGGGAGCACACCTGTAGTGTTACTTAAGGCAAGGAACATGGTCAGCAGAAGAAAAAAAGGAATCCTCAAATTACAAGGAGTTGATAACCTTTTTGTATGCTCTTCATCAGTTCAGAGCTCTCATTGTGGGGAAAGCGATAGAAATTCAGTCAGACAACCAGACTACGGTAGCTTACCTGAAGAAACCAGGGGTGGGGTACAAGGATAAGAAAATTGCACTCCCTTTGCACACGGATTATGTCCTGGGCTCAGTCATCTAGAAGAGCTATCCGCTACTCAAATAAGAGGGATAGACTACTTAAGCAGGTCAAGATGGTTTCTAAATCCTTTCATTTTTTTTTTTTTTTTTAATCAGCTGGTAGAAATGTTCGGTCTACCTGTCATAGATCTTATGGCAAAAAGGTCGAATGCAAAGGTGCAAGCATTTGCCTCCCTCTTCAAGGCAGACATGCCTTTGGTTCTGGATGGGCTGTCAATAAAGTGGGACTTCAGCCTGGCATACATTTTTCCCCGATGAGCCTAATTCCAAGAATTCTGCAATAAGTGAAAACAGAACAGACAATGGTACTGGCCATAATCCCGTACTGGCCAAATCGGAGCTGGTTCCCGGTTTTAATGACGATGGTTTTGAAGTAGTGGGAACTTCCGGTTTCAACAGAGCTCCTGGAGAACAAAAGGGATTCCAGTAGAGATATTGAAGATGTTCAAATTGACTGCTTGGCTGCTGCACGGCTAATCCTGCATAACATGGGGGCATTAAGAAAGAGAGATTCCACCAGAAAATCTATCTCTATCTACTTGAAGATTTGGACGAAATGTCTTTATTGGTGCATCTCATATCAAGAACTTTTCCTTCTACTGATACAATCCTGCATTTTCTACAAGACTGCCTTAGTTTATCTACCCTTAAGTTCAAGTTTCTGCTTTGAGACACTTTTTGGTAAAGAATTTGGCTTCTAATCTGCTTGTTAGATTTTTTTTTTTTAAAGTCCGTCAGGCTCATTAGGCCTCCAAGAAAAGAGTTTTTCCCTCTTGTTTTTGAGGCTTCTATGTACCCAGCCTTTTCGAACCTTTGAAAAAAAACTTTCTTAAAGCTCTTGTCTGTCAAAACAGCTTTGCTCTGGTAAGATGGCTCATGGACACTATTAAATTGGCTTATTCTTCCTCAAATCTGCCTTTGCCTACCTCCTTGAAAGCTCATTCTACAAGAGCCACGACTACTTCCTGGGCCGAAAAAGCTCAAGCTTCACCTGAAGATATCTGCAGAGCTGCTACATGGTCTTCGTTCAACAGTATTTATTTATTTTTTGGAGTATTCAGTCTGATGTTTTATTGGGACGTACTGAGGGTCCATGGCAGGTCGGTGTCTTATACCTTTTGGGTCAAGATGGCTCGTGTTAGGAACTTTTATGTTAATTTTAATTTCAGATGCTTGTACCATGGGAAGAGTACATCTCTAGTGTACTGCCACCATATTAAGGAATTTATGGTGAGTAAAATTTAAGTTTTATCTTTAGGAAGAGTGATTTTTACTTGCGCTACAAGAGGTTCAAGAACTAAAAGTAATCCAAAAAGAAATTCGGGCACACCAAGGCTCATAAGTAGGCACATGTATTTGGACTAAGCTACTTTGTCTTTATTTGGACTAAGCTACTTTGTCTTATGTTTTAAAAAGAAATAGATTAGAAATTAAGAAAAGAACTGATTTTAAGAGACCAAGAAATAAGAGAAAACTAAGTTTGAGCTACTTTTAGCCCAAAAGTGGTACACCAGGGCTCGACAAATCCCAGGCCGCCATAGCAACTCTAAATTTTGCTCTGGAGTCTGGGATGTCATTACTTTAGTGAAGGCGTTCCCCTGAGGGAGCATTGAAGCTGGCCGCAGCGGGAAAATTAGAGCCGGCCGCCTTGGTGATCATGGAGGCGGCAGGCTGAGGCAGCAAGGAGACGGGGAGTAGTTATCTACTTGCAGCTTCTCTCTGCTCCCTCGCGCACTGTTAAATGATGTGTGCCTCTCTCTGTTGGGGAGGCTATGGGGGTGTGTACCTCTCTGTCGGGTAGCTTTTACAACAGAAACCATGCGTTATTGTAAAATATTATACATATTTCACATAATGACAGTAAATGAACCATGGGTGGAAAACCCAATAAATAGAGAGAAATAAGAGGGGGAAAATTGGAGGTAAAGGAAAGAATTGGCAGAAGGTACTCTATTTTAATATTGTTGGATAAACTTTTCAAATGTTTTTTAAATATTAAAATATCAAATACATTGCATATAAAGAATTTTACAAAAATCTAAATATTCCAAAATTGAACATGAATGATTATGGGGGAAGATATTTTAAAGTTTATTCAAAAGTATTAAATCATTTAAAAAAAAAAAAAAAGAAAGAAATCCAACAATATTAAATTGAGGGCTTTTTTAGGAAAACTACTATGGGAAGAATTCTGGCCATGCATCCATATTAAGGATTTTTAAAACCCCAACAGTGTGCTATTTTCAATCCCATTTTGTATAAAATTTTTAAGTAATGCTTATGTTATGTTTTTTACTACAGACACACATTTGATTCCATGCGTGTACCTATCTTGCCATCCTTGTCAAAGACAAAATATGTGGGAGAGGACGATGCGCTCAACTCTCTTAATAAGGTTAGAAATGTGAACTTCCTGGAAAATTGTTGTTTGTAAAATCTTGTCATAAAATGTGTTCCAAAGCTGCATTTAAAATAGTGGCTAGATTTCTATCATGCATTGTAAAGGACAGGATTGAATTTCATGCAGCTTTCCAGCAAATGATTTTCCTTAAGGACCCTCTGGGTACTATAACAACTACAGCACTCTGTGAATGTTAAGATGCCAGGGGTTCCCCTGGCATCATCAGATTGTAATCTCTCAAAACATTAATGAATGATTTGACACGTCTTGCTATATCGTGAGACTGCAGTCTTTCTGGTCTGTTTTGGTCTTATAAAGTAGAAGTTCCTGCTGCTGCATTACCATGCCAAGTCATACTAGTTTTAAAGGAATACTGTTCAATTAAACATTTTATATAGTTTCCCTTGGTAAATTTAGATACAAACCCCTCCCTTTAGACTTTCTTGATTAAAGGTGATATTTTTTCACCTCATTTAAAGCTCATGTCAAGTTGGTCATTGGTAATTATAGTATTCAGTTATTGAACTATACTGCCATAAACACAAGAATCTAATTACCATAATGGCAATATACTTGGGACTTTAATTCTATTATATAATATTTTACTATTATGTATGTTACACTATATTTTTTGTTCAGGAAATTTGTGCAAACATTGAACGGTTTATAGGTTTAAATCCATTAATGACCAGAGCTCTTTTGAGATGCAATGTGTGTGACACCAAGTCCTTTTTGGCACTTTGCCATGCATTCATTCTACCACAATGTCACACTTTGTCTGTCACCCATACATATTATTATACATCTTTTTCTAAAGGAGAGGTAGGATTTGTGTAGCGCTGAGCCAAGAAGCACCCCCAGTGGCCATCTGAGGTGTCCATAGGGGCAATATAAACACTGCCTTTTCTCTGTTTTTGCATGAAAATGCCTGCATACAATGATTATACTCACCAGAATAACTACATTAAGCTGTAGTTGTTCTGGTGACTATAGTGTCCCTTTAAGCTGTTGAGATCAGTTGCAGTGATTTAAAATAGCTATGTGCAGCTTTTATTTTGAGCTCTGCACAGCTCTGGAGGTCTCTGTAGCCAATAAGGTTTTAATACTGCTGGTACTATTAATGGTGATGGTCTATGCCATGTATAGGCAACCTTTGGCATTCTACATGTTGGTGATTACATCTCATCTGATGCTTTGCTTGCATTATTGCTTTAAGAACATTATGGGAGATGTACAACATCTGGAGTACCGAAGGTTGTCTACTATTGGTCTATGCCATCAACTGGGGTTAAAACGGTCATGCGGACCTTTTCATAAATGGGCCGCTTCGAATATCGGTTTACCACTTTAGCCAATCAGCAGCTGCCCTGCCTAGCGGCACTACACACGTCCTGTCACTCAGTTTCAGAATCCGGATGCCTGCAAGACCTGGAGATTGGCGCAGGAGGCAAACCATTGGTGTTAAACTTTTCGAGAGTGGTTTATCCCTTTAAGTTATGAGAACTCCCCTGGTTTTACTGGCACCATAACAACTTTATTTAGATGAAGCTGTTATGGTGACGGGCGTGTTCCTTCAAGTGGTTAAAATCTTTTATTTACATTTTAACAGACTGAATTGATGTTGCCTCCTAAACAACAAGTTACTTTCTGCAGGCACTAGAGATGATGTGGCTAAACCACTAATAACTGAACATTTTCAATACACAGGAATTACTAGTTATGTGAACACACTGGGGTTTTTTGGGTGGGGAGAGGGGGGGGGGTTCTCTCTCAACTTTCAAAACTTGCTAGGCTAAAATAGACCAACTGTGACTATAGCAGAGTTGGGGATTTTGTTTTTAAATTTGCCATTTTAGCTTAGATGAGTTCTTACCAATGAAATAATATATTTTCATTAAAATTGCTCTTTTTATTTTCATCTAGCTGACAAACAATAACAGCCCTCCATATGTGCAGCCACCGAAAGAATACAGCTTAGAGATGAAAACCTCTTCATCTTTAATATTGAACAGAAATGACTCAAACCTGACTGTGAAAAGAAAGGAAGGTAAATGTTTTTATTATTTATATGTTTGCTACTAGTATTATTTATAGTGTATTTATAGGTGTATGTGCTTTTGGGTTTCTTTCTTGCTATTAATCACTGCATTTACCCCTATATTTAAAGTCTAAATGCACAATTTAAAAAAAAGAAAAAGCTCTTTATGATTAAGTAGCTCAGGAGTTAAAGTGTAAAACCCATCCATACAAGCAATTTATAAAATGTATCATACTTACACAATGAGTTGCCACCTGGGGTAACCATGCACCCAAAGAGGCTGTTGGTAGTTTTTTATTTTTTTTGCTAGTTTGTTTTTCTAATACCTTTTTTATACCTTTATCAAAGTAGAATAAAAATAAATACATTTTTCTGTGCAAGATCTTTAAAAAATAAAATACATATAGAGTATTAAAATTATTTTATGAAAAATAAAAAAAAGTCCACTTTGAAATACAAGTGTGTTTATACTACAGTCCCAATACATAAATGCACCACTAATGATTTCCAATGTTTTCAGTTATCTGCATAATGAAAAAGATAATACAGTGTTAGATTTTAAACTACATCTAATGCTATTTGTGCCACAGAGTTGACAGATGATACAATTAGTCAGTTCATTTCTCAAGAAGATAAACAAGCTGAACCATACACCATCCCTAAACTTAACAGAAAGCAATCCGATCCTTTCAAACCAGGAGGTGTTGAATCTGAATGGAAGTGGAAAGTTCCTGAGACACCTAGTGATATATTTCAACATGAGGTAATTTAGGATTATCCAGTATTGGGATTTTTTGTTAAACATAATCTGAAAAAGAGCTCCAGTAATTGTATGAACATTGGTTGGGATAAATATTTATCATTATTAAAATGTTTTTCCAAACACCATGACCACTTCAGTGTTCTGTATGTGCAGCATTTAGCTTTAAAACGCTGTGCATATGGAGTTTAACCCCTTAGGTCAGGCTTCCCCAAACTGCAGCTCTCCAGATGTTGCTAAACTACAACTCCCATGATTCTATGAATGAAATGGCAAGGCTGAGAATCATGGGAGTTGTAGTTCAGCAACATCGGGAGGGCCGGAGTTTGGGGAAGCCTGCCTTAGGTGCAGGAGTTATGACTCCACCTCTGATGTCTTGGGAGCATCATTAATTAAGAAACAGAAAAAGAGCCCAGGTCTATTGCCAAAATCTCTCATTAGCCAGCCGAGAACAAGAGTTCCAAGCAAGATAATATCAATTTTGTGCCAATATTTTTGTACAAAGTTCCATTCATTGGCTCAGAGTGGTCAGCTAAAGCTCTCTAGCCTATAAATGGCAACTGGATCACCTTCTGGATTTAGCAGGTAACAGGGCAATCCATTGTTTGCCCCAAGTGAGCTGTAGTGGTTATGAAGAAAAATGACTTAATGAAGCAGTTTTTGTATATAGATCATGCCCCTGCAGTCTTGGTACTCAATGCTCTGCCATTTCAAGGGTTAAATCATTTTGTTAATACAGCCCTAGTCATACCTCCTTATTTGTGACTTGCAGAGGCTTCGTAAGAACTTCTCTTAACCGCTTAAGGACATGTAATGGTTCCCTTTATTCCAGAAGTTTGGTCCTTAAAGGACCACTATAGTGCCAGGAAAACATACTCGTTTTCCTGGCACTATAGTGCCCTGAGGATGCCCCCACCCTCAGGGTCCCCCTCCCACCCGGCTCTGGAAAGGGGAAAGGGGTTTAAACTTACCTTTCTCCAGCGCTGGGCGGAGAGCTCTCCTCCTCTGTTCCGCCCCGTCGGAATTTAACAGGTAGACTACAGCGTCATTATCTATACACCCAAACTGCTTTATGAAGCCAGTGTTGTTTTGATGCATGTAGCATCCCTTTAAGCCTGCATATCTCTCAAACATTTGTTGGTGCTTTTTTTGTAGGGTAAACGAATGAGCATTGAGCCAGGCTTAGCCAGAAGAGTATCTCCACTTGGTTTAGCATTAAAGAAGCATGATCCAGTCTTTGTTTGTGCAACTCCAGTCAGCAAACCACAAGACGATTACATGAACTGGTAAATTTTCAGTAGTTTACTTCTTGTAGAAGTTTAACACACTTTCGGATAGTGTTTTTCAAATGTCATTGTTTTATTCATCACCCACATATTGCCAGTATCTCTACATGATCGATCATGAAGCAGTATGTAAGTGGACAGGTTTAAAATGAACGAGCAATTACAGGTATATTGTAAAGGAAAAGCTATCAAAGGCTGTTATAGAGGGAGAGTAGATGGAGCTTTTGGAAAAGAGGGGTATGATGCAGTGTTAATTTTGGTGGCAAATTTCAGTTTTAGTCATAGTTTTTGCACTAAAAAGCCATTTTAGTTGTATTTTGGCCATCTGAATTGTTTTAGTAGAATAAATCTCCAGTAGATTTTAGTAGACTCAACTAAAATCTAAAGGTTTTAGTTAAAGCTTCTATTGGACTTTTTTTTTTCTTTTTTTTCAGACCCTCTTTCTCTCTCTCCCAAGCCCTGGTCTGTCTCCATTTGGCCCTTCCAGAGCCCCTCTGTGCAGTGTTAAACCTGTATTCTTGACCCTATAGAGTTAAAACCACCATCTAGCCCACCTGCTCTCACCCCCCTCCTTAAATATGATAAAATCTTACTTGTATTGTAAGTCTGCAGCTGCTGACTCCGCCCCTAATCTACCTGCTTGGTTGACAAAATCAGAAGTGATTCTCTGATCCAATCACAATGCTTTCCTATAGGATTGGCTTAGACTGTCAAGGAGGCAGATCAGAGGCAGCACAAGTCACACAGCTCTTGCTAATGAGCATTTCCTCATAGAGATGCATTGAATCAATGCATCTGTATGAGGAAAGGTCAGTGTCTGTGTGAAGAGGGTGGAGACACTGAATGGCAGTGCTGTACACTGTGCAGCACTGCCCCAGGAAGCACCTCTATTAGCGTTCTGACTAGTGGCCAGTGAAGTTATCACTAGGCTGTAATGTAAACACTGCATTTTCTCTGAAAAGACAGTGTTTACTGCAAAAAGCCTGAAGGGAATGATTCTAGTAACCAGAACAAATACAATAAGCCGTAGTTGTTCTGGTGACTGAGTGTCTCTCTTCAATTTTGGCAGCAAATTTCAATTAAATTTTAGTCAGTCTTTTGACTAAAATACAAGTTTAGTTTGTCCTAGTTTAGTCATCTGAATTTTTTTAGTTTTAGTCGACTTAATATCAAATTTTAGTTTACTAAAATTTGACTAAAATTGATTAACACTGGTATGATGATAGGAAGACTGAAGGAGAAACATGTATCTAAGATTGGAATAGGTGTTGGTGGAGAATAAAAGATTTGAATGGTTGTGAGGAAATTATTTTTAGGCGCATTTCTTTATTTTGAGCTAGATGGGCATTGACATGGGGGTGGGGTGAATGACTAGAAAAAATGGATGAGGTGCAAGATTGGAGAATCTGATTTAGTTGGAGGAGGGAACTGAATATTTCTGGCTTAGGGGGAAGAGATCATTAAATTGCATTTTAATCCGTTTGAGGAAATGTAGTAAACCTCAGGGGGAAAAAGGAGAGACAAATAATAGTGCAATAAAATATGGTACAATCAAAATAAGATAAGTAATCGCTATAAGAAAACCACTCACATATGCTAGAGCTAATTAGAGCTCTGCTGTATAGCGCATGGACGGTACAATCCCCGTCTAAGGATGTATGGTGGTTGAAGTGTTGATGGTCCTCCAAATGCCAATGATATATATGTGTAGGAGGTAGAAGAACAAAATAAAACTCCAATGGTTTAGTAAGTACTGGTATATAAAATAAATAAAAAGAAGAAGAAATGTACTTACATTCTTTAGAGCAAGATTTGCTCTAGTTAAAACAGCTCTATTTTTGTCTATACACCACACAAGGTTTTTGGGAATCCTTGCATTGTATACCGCAGCCTGTACTATAATATAGCGAGCGCCTATACCTCTTGTTTTTTATACATACCTCAGATTAAAAAGGCACAGAAGGAAACTGAAGCCAGTAAGGTATTTCTTAGTGCTACTCTAGCAGTCAGTAGATCATATTTAACAAGTACTAAATGCTCTGCTTTCTCATGTGACACACAAAGGAGTTTATATTTAGGTATGGGTGGGTTAAACTATATTGGGAGATTTATTCTGACACACATTGGGAAATTATTTTTGGTTCTGGGGGGACCACTATGCTAGTCGACGTAATTTTGTTCTTACTCAACTGTTTGGTGAAACACAGAAAAGGAAAGGAAACTTAAAGCACTAACCCTTGTTATGGTTTTATACAGCTTTAGAACACCTGTTGTGAAAAATTCCCTTCCACCAATGCCTCCATTGTCCACTCCATGTAACAACCCTTCAAGCTACCAACAGCCTCAAACCCCAGCAAATGCCTTCCTGCCACCTGCTTGTTATCCGGTAATATATCAGTGTTTTGGGTTGTGTGTGTTTTTTGTTTTTTTTTTAAATAATATATCTCCCTGTCTTCTAATATAAAAATGTCTCACCAATATATTGCTTCTCTATGTTAGGTCTCCACACCTCTTGCTTCAAATGACTATATTGTAGTTAAAGGGCGACCTTATACAGTTCTCAAACAGATTGGAACAGGTGGCTCTAGTAAGGTAAAGAGTGTTTTTTGTTTTTGTTTTTTGGGTGTTCTGCTTTTCAATGTGTAAATATTCTGTTTAAGCTAGCCTATGTAATATACCACAATTGAATAATTTAATATTTCCAAATGTTTTGCATATATTTAGAGAAGTGTTTTCATGATAACAAAATTGCATATTCCATGTACTGTCTGTCACTGGCCAACTTGTGACAGTGTCATTTTTTTATTTTTTTTTTGTGAATGCTACACCTTTATAATTCAAGCTCTTACAAAAACATTACATTGCAGAGTTAGACATGCTTTTGGTGACTGGACATTTTCATAAATGATTGTGGTTTTATCTTATTAGTGCTACTTTTGTAAAGAGTAAATATAACTTCTTGCAGGTGTTTCAAGTAATGGATGAAAAGAAGCACTTATATGCAATTAAGTATGTGAACCTCCATGAAGCAGACCAACAGACAATTGAAAGCTACCAAAATGAAATATCTCATTTAAACAGACTTCAACAACACTGTGATAAGATTATCCGCCTTTATGACTAGTACGTAACAAACATTCCTTGTATTCTAAGACTACTAAATGATGGTGAGGTTTTTGGATTTGTTTTCCTGTTGGTTTCGTTTAGGAAGGAAGAAATTCGACAATTGTAAAACTCTGCAAGCCTAAATGTGCGTCTAAATTGCAGGATTGGTGTATACAATTCATATTTGATCAGAATTGTTCATTTGAGTCTTACTTTTAGGCCATTTTATATGCAATCTATCATTTTGGGGATGCTTCAATTTAAGGCTAATTCAGATTATAGTTAATATCGTAAACTTCATCTGAAATTAAACTTCCAGAACTTGAGAAGTTCTTATTTTTTCTGATCTGTTTTTTTCCTACGAAGTTATTAAATTAACGAATACTGAATGCTCATTGTCTTGCAGTTAGACTTGTTCCTTTGTGAATTATTTACTAATTATTTAAGTTAATTTCTATTTGATCACAATTTCTGTTCCTTGCAGTGAAATCACACAGCAACATATCTACATGGTAATGGAGTGTGGAAATATAGATCTGAACTCATGGCTGAGAAAGAAAAAAACTATTGATCCATGGGAAAGGAAAAGCTACTGGAAAAATATGCTAGAAGCTGTCCATACAATACATCAGCATGGTATGTGTATCTACGTGGTGTCTACAGATTCCGTGTTTTTTCAAGATTAATTTAGAAATCTAGATTACCCACCTAACTAAATACACTTGCTTTGGCTGAAATAGTAACTGATTTGTTGTGCAATTATTCTCCTTACCTGGGTCACATGCACAGGACACCAGTGATACAAAAAAACTAAATGTATATGCAGAGTATTCTCTCTCTCCTTTCTTTTCTTTTCTTTCTTTCTTTTTCTTTCTTTTCTTTTCCCCTCTCTGTAGGTTAGGTTAGTTGTGCTATTTTTATATAATCCTTATTTAACAAAATCAATAATTTTAGAAAGTGATCCACCATTATTGCTCATCCAGCCTAACTTATCTTTTTTTTTTTTTTCCATCAAAATATTGATGTAACATGCTGTCACTACTATTAAAATGGAAAGATAACAGTTGAACTACAATTTCCTAGGACTTTTCCTGTGTCTATAAAGTTAGCAATACTACATAAAGTCACTTCCGGGATTGTTAAAATACTGTAGACCCTGTGAAGAAAGGAGATTTGCAAGAAATGTAAATATATATGAGATTGATTTGTTGGTGTAATACATTATGTCTGTATTATGTCATTTTTTATATAAGGAAAAAATGGTTCACCTCTAGTCTGGAATGTCTCATTTTAAACTGGCACTTTCTGTGGACTTTACTGAATTAGCAAAGTCTGCCGATAGTGACATTTCTGCTGAGTATCCGGGGGTGGGTGGGGTGCAGGTTAAAGTGAGATTAATTGATCTTAACCTGATCATTGTTGGCACAGCTATCTTCCTCCAGAGTATTCTCTTGGCATCAGGAGCCAACATCACTGCAGTAGTCTTGTGCATGCGCAATAGTACAGCATTGATGTTTACTTTTTCGGTAAGGGGGATGACTACCGCTTCAAATCAAGCACTCACTCACAGAATGGTTTAATGTATTTCATATAAAATTTGGACATTAATGGATTCCTGCTGGTGGAAAAGAGTTGCAAAACGATACTATTTATTAAAACAATCCTACTGATATTAGAATTAGTTTTGGTTTTTTTTAAGTGAACAATGCCAGTCTGATAAAGTAACATGATATCTTTATTTCCTAGGTATTGTTCACAGTGACTTGAAGCCTGCAAACTTTATTATTGTTGATGGAATGCTAAAGCTAATAGATTTTGGCATTGCAAACCAAATCCAGCCAGATGTAACCAGCATTGTTAAAGATTCACAGGTAATGTTTTGTTTTGTTTTTTTCTTCCTTTTATAACTATTTATCATTGTTGTGGTCTTGTATTTAGACAATAGTAGGATGTCCTCGCTTGCAAATTCATTGTTTTAATTTTAAAATAATCTTTTATGTCTCCATGGACAGCTGCTTGCCCCTTACTTACGGGTTTTATACTGTGTTTGGGAGCGCAGTAGCTGACCCTTTCTTGTTTGTAGGCCAAGGTTTTATGAAAGCTGTATCAATCTTCATTTAAAGCAGTGGTTCTGAAACCGGTCCTCATGGCCCATGAACAATCCAGGATTTATCTTTTCTTTTTTTTATTCCAATGGAGATGCTGGCAAATCCTAAAATGTTGCTTGGTCGTGAGGGCTTGTTTGTGGTCAACTAATTTAAAGGAACACTTGATACACCGTACCCTGTAGTGGTATTGCATCACTCCATTATCTGCAGTCAAGCTGTTTTAGAATGGTGTGACTTCTTGCATGGATCTGCCGGGCGCTGTTCCAACTCTTCCACTACTACTGCTCCGAGCGTTTACGGCTCTTCATAGCTTGTAGTGGAGGTGGGGAGTAGCACCCAGCGGACATTTGGTCCAATTGTTCTAAAACCGTTTTCTTACAATGGAGTGGCATATGGGCACTCCTAGCACCATAACCACTAGAGTGTGCTGTAGTCCTAGTACTTAGAGTATTGCTTTATATTTAGACTACAACAGCTACTGTTTGCTGTAGTTGTTATGGTGTTTGGAGTATTCCTTTAAATATACTAGTTTTAGTCCAATTGCTTTAGCTGGACAGCCTATCTACAACTTAGTACAAATGCATGCTCCGCCAGTAATGCCTACTACCTCTACATCCCATATTAAGATGCATGAATAATGCATGTTACCCTGTAAGACCTAAATTGTCCTGGTCCTTTGTACAGTGCACACAGTTTGCCTCCTATATCTTACACCCACCTGCCCTTTCATCTGATTTTTCACCTCTTTGGCCTTCATGCCTGTCCACTTGTTATCATTTAACTCACTTTAGTCTATGTCAATGAAACTTAATAGATGGTTATATCTTGTTTTATTTCTTCCTTTAGGTAGGCACAATAAATTATATGCCACCAGAGGCAATTAAGGATACCACATCATATGGAGAAAATGGAAGGCCCAGATCTAAGGTATTTTCTTCATGGTATTTCCTTTTTATTTCCTTAAAGCGGCACTGTCATAGCCGCATACAGTTGTTTTTTAACCCCGACTCCACTACATCTAAATCCACCCAACCCCCTATTACCTTTTTAAAAAACTTTATTTTGTGCCTGGACCTAGGTCCTAGGCGCCGCCATCTTTGTGTGGGCAGATCAAGGCCCTGTGGGACACGTCATCTGCCTACGCTAGATAGCGTTGTAAAATTCCCGCGCATGCTTAGTTAAACACTGGGGCTATTGTTGAAAATTCGGACGGGAATTTCGTCAATTCATTCATCAGAAAGACAAATGAATAGAAGTGTCAGACGAACAAACGCCCGAATATCTGTGTTTTTCATTTAGTTTATTACAAGGAGGGAGCTACCGGCATGCAGCTCCCTCCTTGTAATATGTAAAGATAGAAGCGGCTGGCAGCTGTGCTCCCTGCCACTTCCTAAGCACCCAAGTCCTCCCTCACTCTGTGGGGGTTAATATGACCAGGGAGATTGAAATCTCCCGAATGCCCCTATTAGCAGCATACCTGATTGGTTACCTGTAAGGCTCACTATTTACCTATCAGAGCACTCTTATTATTTGGCTTAAACCAACCAATCAGAGCACTTTGAGTCAAATTGCAGGATGTGGGAAGGATTTTTAAGCTTTTTCTTTCCCTCACTGGGTGAAGACGTATTTATTTTTTATTTATTTTTTTTCTTCGCCGGGATTTTGGAAAAAGACATCAAATGGTTAGTATTTAAAAAAAAAAAAAAAAAATTTTTTTTTAAATTAATTGCTAACACAAAGTAATCTTGGTCTTTCAGCCTCTTGGTAGATAGCTCCCTAATACCATGTTAATTAGGGAGCCATCTACTAAGCGGCTGCAAGATGTAGCCTCTGCACGGATCTGTGATTTTCATTCATTCAAATGAAATTCCGAACTGACCTAAAAGTACCGAATATCGTCCTAACATGAATGAACAAACTGGTCTCATTCTGTGAAATTCGGTAGTTTTGCCAGCGTTCTGTCTAAATGACAGGGCGTTCGGAAATAATGAAAGTAGGTATTACGAGATCACGAAGGAAAGGTGAGAATTGCGGGAAAATTGCTCTGACCACAGAAAATGGAGCACACTTTGCTCCTCCGTTGGTCAAGTGTAGGAAAAATACATAAGACAAAATAGTCCCTACTTTGTCTTATGTTTTAAAGAAAACTAGATCAGATAGGAAGAAATGAAGAACAGATCATGAGAGGAAGAGAAGAAGCGATTAGGGAAAGGTAAATTCGGCATGACAGTGCCGCTTTAATGGGGAAATTAACTCCATACTATTCTGTAATGTGTTATATAGATAATGTATAATTAAACCTGGATGGCTGTGAACAGTGGGCTAACAAGCCTACATCAATTTCAGACAATTATTACGATCCTTGTTGGATGAAGCTCAAGAGTGTTAAGCCAGTATGGTCCTTGTTGGATGAAATCCATATTGGTTAAGCCAGTTACCTCCCTGCATCTAGAGGAGAGACATAAACTTGTGGTTGGATTTTCTTAGCAATGTAAGATTGGAAAACGTAATTGTAGCTACAAAAGTATGGAAACGTTAAAAATGGGTTGCCTTTATCATTATTCCATCTTCCATGCTAGGTCTGGTTAAAATGAGTTTTATACTATATGAAAGGCTTCTTTCATATGGTAAAAAATACTATTCTATTTTGGATTACTTTGCTGATTATTTTCAAAGTCACTTTGAAAAAATATTGACAAACACCTATAATCTGTAACTTATTTTTTTGTTTTTCTTTAAATGTATATTAAATATTTAGTAAATAATTATCACAAGTCAGTCCAGACACAGCAATGGGAGTGCCTTATTGGAAATTAATAGGAGAATTGGGGGGTAAAACTATTCTCCTCTTCTCTGTATGTCTTCATCTTTATATTGACTGCCAGGTGAAAAGGACAGAGTTTATAACAATGACTGACCGAGAGCCAAGATAAAGGTACCTAGTTGCAGGATAGAGAAATGCTTTTTCTACATCTTAATTTGCATTTTCACAGTGCATAAGCACACACTTGTTAACTATAGATAAGTAAACAAAAAATTCCAGGCAATGATTTAATAAAATCAAATGTCAGTTTTGCTTTGTTTGCAATTTTATTTTACTTTGTTGGAAGTTTGACGTGTTTCAAGTAAATCTACACATCTTCGTATTTTATTGCAGCTCTATAGGTGTACAATTTTTTTATTTATTTTTTTGACCGCCCTTTTCATCTTCTCTCTTCTATGAATATGTATGCATTGCAGATTTGGTAATGTTTTGGGTGTCCTTTGTCCCTTAGTGTCTGCCCTTTTTGGCATGCAGTCATCAGTCTGCAGAATGTCCACAACGCAATCTCACTTTTGACTTATTCAAGCAATTTGACTCTTTAATTCTATTCTTGCCAACCCTGCCTTTATGTATTTTGCTGTAGTTCTTTTCATTTGCCATACGGTGGAGTACTCATATGTATAATAAATAGGAAAGCTTATTACTGGGGTTGTAATACCATTGGATAGCAGAGTGAGGGACAAGGGCCATGATCTGGACATGAAATGTAGACTGTGATCACACAATTCATAATGCAATACTTCATAAACGTGTATTAACCATTGGATTCTTGGAAGAAATAACAATGCATTTGTTTGCTGTCAATGGTGACTTTACTAATGTACCCACAAATGATATAGGAGTATTTCACTGTATGTATTGTACATATAAGTCTTTCGCAAAAAAGAAAGTTCTCCAAATCAGCTATGCTTTGCATTTGACTACTTTGGACTTAAATTTGAAATTCTCTTTGAAATCTCACTGTACTGAATGACCCTAGAGCTATATTGTAGGATTTCACATTCCTTTCTCAGACTATACTTTTTATTATTTAACGACTAGAGAAGGTTCTTTACATGATTCATTGCTCATCTTGTTTCGTTTCTTTTCTTTATGACCATCTCTTTTTACGATCTATGGCTTGTTTATATCAAGCACACTTTGCTTTATGCACTTTTTATATACCAATACTGTTAGTTTTGTTTCCATAGCAGTGACCTGGGTGAAACAGTGCCTGTGTAACATACTTGTACAGTGTGTGTGTGTGTGTGTGTGTGTGTGTGTGTATATATATATATATATATATATATATATATATATATATATATATATATAATTTTTTTTTAATTTTTTTTTTTTTTTTAATCTTTTGTAGGAAAATATAAATGGCATTGAAATCCTTATCTCAATGACTGTTATAGTCGTTGCATGACATCATTTTGTTGTCAAATAGATTACATTGGTTTTTTTATATTGTTTTTCTAATGGTCGAAATATACACAAATATCTTTGTTTTAAAGAAAAATGTTAAATAACCATATAAACGTTTATAGCTTTCTTTCCGCATGTTTAATTTGACTGACTGACTAATAAGTCTTAGCAGCATTTTCATTAATAACTTAAAGGGACACTGTAGTCACCCAGAGGTCCGGGTACAGTGTTCCTGTCTACCCCTTAGTCCTGCAATGTTAAACATAGCATTTTAGAGAAATTGGAATGCTTACTTTGCAGTACTAAGACTGCCTCTAGTGGCTCTCTACCAGACAACAAGTAGTCCTTCCTGGAGTTTCACAGGTTGACGCCTTGAAAGGACACTGAATGTTCTCTCACTCTCTATGAAGACATCCAGTGTCAAGGAAAACACCATAGCAAACAAAATATGTTACTGTGTTATTTTTTCCTATTTTGGCACTATATATATTTTTTTAATGTTAATACATTTATTAATTCACACTTAGTGCTAAAGTATTCAGATTTTTTCTTTTACCAACTTTTTATATTGCTAAATTACCAGTGGCAAGTACTATCACTTTCTCATCCAAGATGGCAGCCAGAAATAGAAAAGATTAGAAATAATAGAGGCAACACCAGAATTAAAAGACAACTGTTACCTCAAAACTTTGATGTCCTTTTATCATGTTTATAAAGGAAATACCGTATATACTCGTGTATAAGTCGATCTCATGTATAAGTCGAGTGCAGTTTTGTGACCAACAATTGTGAAATATGCTATGCCTCGTGGATAAGTCGAGGGTAAAACTTGGGGCTATGAAATTCTGTGATTTTTATAATTATATACACACACACTCATACAAACACACACTCTGCATTATATGCGGACACTCATACAAACACACACCCTGCATTATATATACACACACACACTCATACAAACACACACTCTGCATTATATACACACACACACTCATACAAACACACACTGCATTATATACACATACTGTGTATATAATGAAGAGTTTGTGTAGTGTGTGTGAACTGGGTGGGGGGAGGGCATTTTTATTTTAATTTTAATATTTTAATTTTATTATTTTAATTTTTTTTTTGTCCCCCCTCCCTGCTTGTTAACCGGTCAGGGAGGGGGGCTATCTTAATCCCTGGTGGTCCAGTAGCATGGGCTGTGAAGTGGGGGGCCGGCAGGAAGCATTTACTTACCTTTCCTGCAGCTCCTGTCAGCTCCCTTCTCCTCCGTTCCAGTCAGCTCCACTGTAAGTCTTGCGGTCTGGTTGCCGCGCGGATTGTTGCCACGGCTCTGACGGCCGCGGCTCTCTAAGTTGCCATAATACAGACAGTGACTCGAGTATAAGTCGAGTGGGGGTTTTTAAGCACAAAAAATATGCTGAAAAACTAGACTTATACTCGAGTATATACTGTAATTATTTATTTTTCATATACTTCACTTTAAAAACAAACAAAAACAGTTTCTATAGTCTTTTCTGCTTCTGTGCAAGGAGTGAAATGGAGAAGATCATAAAGGCTGACCATTTTCAAACACTATCCAGCCTAAGGTCTATGTATATGGCTGAAGCATCCTTTCATATACTAAAACGAACACTATAGGGTCAGGAACACAAACATGCATTCCTGACCCTATAGTGTTAAAACCACCATTTAGGTGGCTTACGATCTCCCCTCCCCCTTAGTCCCCTTAAAAGTAATTAAAACGTACCTTTTTTACAGTGCTGTGCGGGTCTGCCAGCACTGGCCCGCCCAGATACACCTCCTTTGTGACATCATAATTGCCAATGTTTAGCCAATTCAATCCGTTCCCATCCGGAAAGCATTGGATTGGCTAAAATCGTCAAAATTTTGGCTAATAAGCACCTCCTCATAGAGATGCATTCATCAATGCATTTCTATGAGGACAATTCAGCGTGGAGACACTAAACGGCAGTGCTGCCTGCTGTGCAGCACTGCCCCAGGAAGCACCTCCAGTGGCCATATATGCTCTGAAAAGGCAGTGTTGGCATGAAAATGCCTGCAAGTAATGATTATAGTCACCAGAACAAATACAATAAGCTTTAGTTGTTCTGGTAACAATAGTGTCGCTTAAAAGTAGGCAAGAGGTTTTTTGTTTGTTTTTTTGGTTTTTTTTTTTTTTCTTATCACGATTGGAATAGAAAAGGTGGCTGTAATTGCAAACACCCTGAAATTACATGCATTAGGAATGGTAGGCGATACCACCTATAATGTCAAACGTGTAGTGAAATTAATTGCAGTCTGTAAATTTGCTGGCAGTTTATCATGGTTCCAGTGGTGGGTGCAATTTACCGGCAAAAGTTCTCAAAGCTCCATTTAGAGGGCGGAGTTGATTAAAGAATGTCTTTGAGGTCCAAATGTTTTTCCATGTATTCTGAATTGAAAACTGCCTGTCTTGGTTGGGATTTGAGAAAGTAGTTCTGATTGCAACACTTACAGCCTTAATGAACAGTAGCTTCCAAAAAGTGACCACATATTTTATATTACCATTTCTATTTTTCTATTTTTTTCTTTTCTTTTTTTTGAAGTAAATCTCAGACTGCTTTGTTATAATTTGCTGCAATGTAACTGACAGTTTAGTCATGCATTTGTGTTGTGAATGGCTAATATTGTCATTTTTATTTGTTTCGTTAGCACTTATTATGTGGTGTTTTTTTTTGTTTTGTTTTTATTAAATACATTAATAAAGAGGTAAATATTACTTTAACTGGTTTTGAAGCAACACTTTCATATTAACCATTTCCTTCTTGATTTTAGATAAGCCCCAAAGGTGATGTCTGGTCTTTGGGGTGTATATTGTACTGTATGACATATGGGAAGACTCCATTTCAGCATATTACTAACCAAATCACTAAACTACATGCAATTTTGGACCCAGGTTATGAGATAGAAATACCTGATATTCAAGAAAGAGACCTTCAAGATGTCCTCAGAGTAAGTTTTTGGTTTGTTTGTTTTTCTTTTGTATATAACTTTTTTTTTTTTTTTGGTCTGTTTTTGGGTTTGGATTTTTTTTTCCCCTAAGCACTAGAAAAGATTTATTGGTGCACAGATTGTTTCCAAATTCCATGTAATGTTTATAATGTAAAATAGTCATATTCTTCAAAATGTGAACTACAGGTTGTTGTTTTTTTTTGGGGGTTGGTTATTAATTGTAAAGCTTTTGTAATTTATATTCCGATTTGTTTCTATTCCTAGAAATGTTTATTGAGGAATCCTAAGGAACGTATTTCTGTTGCTGAACTCTTAGTCCATCCGTATGTTCAGCTGCCAGGTATGTAAATACATCTTGTTTTTTCTGGAAATGAGCCTGCTGGTTGAAAAGAGGGAAATCTTACCAGTCTGAGAAATGAAGTCCACTTATGTTAAACAGCTAGAAAACCAATTGTTCCTAATCACTCAAAAAACAAACAAACCATAGACACTTTTTTTTTTTCTCTGTATGCATGTACATTCATCCCCAGGTAATTTCTTATCTGTCTTTGTTCTTTGCTGATTAAATTAGCCATGTAGTAACTAGCATAGGGCAAACTGAAATAATGTCTCCCAATATAGTAATTTTGATGAGACATGTATTGTGGTTTAATATCTGCAATAAATGAACCAACTTTTTCCAAGGCTTTACTTTGATTTAAAGGATCCCTGCTTACTATGTGTTTTACAGATGAGAAAGTTCAGAAAGGTGCCAATGAGGAAATGAAACGGATACTTGGAGAACTAATTGGCCTGAACTCCCCAAATTCCATATCTAGAGCAGCAAGGGTGAGTGTCTTCTCTTCAGTGTGCTAATATTACTTATGGTACATAATCACATATTATACATGAAGCACAAATTACTAAATCTGAAATCTGACATTTTTTTAGACAAATCGACATACTTAATTGTATTAAATAACTGGCCCGGAAATAGGTTTGCAAAATTATTTTCCTGAAATTGCTTCAAAATTTAATTTTGGTAAATAAGAAAATCAGATGAAATAAGACTTTTCAATGACGTGTGTGTGTGTGTGTATATATATATATATATATATATATATATATATATATATATATATATATATATATATATATATATATATATATATATATATGTGTGTGTGTGTATATATTAAAAAAATAAAAAAATTTTAATGGGTGCAAAAAGGAAATTCTACAAAAAAATAGCACATAATAATATACAAAAGGTGTCATGCACTCAAGTATGTTGGGTATTTTCATTATTGCATATTCAAACAAAACCCCAGATTAACTGAATAAATACACTTACACTTTGCGTCTTTTCTTTTAGCAATTGTATGATCAGTGCAACAGCGGAACGGGCCTTGATATATCTGCATTTGGAAAACAGGCCAACCAAAACACGTGGACCATGAAGTGATGTACTGTAGTTTCAGTCCTAATCCTAGGACCCTGATAACCTGCCATGCCATGTATTATCTTAGTTGCATTATTGTTTTATAATGGTTTATAGTGTTCAAATGTGTATAAGCACAAAGTAAATTACTTCTAGCAGTTTTGTAAATACTATTTTCTGTGTCTGTAAATATTTGTCTTCAGATTTCCAAGATTTTTCATTTGTTTAAACGGAAAGGGTTACTTATCACTCTAAATGTTCACCTACTGAGCAATGCTGCCAGAAATAATCTGTTGTGGAAGTGACATAATATGCAACTAGAAAAGGGGTTTGTTTATTACTGTTCCCTCAGTGACACAGATCTATGGGTGTTTTTCAACCTTTTTTGTAGTTAATGCTTGTTAAACCTGCGCATGAATCAGGAGGCCAAAGGTTCATAGGCCGCAATTAATTTAAAATGTACCCAGAAGAAAGGTATTTTGATTCTTAGGTTTGTATCTTTTATTCCGTTGGCAAAAGGATATTTTATGGATATAACCATATTAAAGAATGAATGGAGTTAAAATACTGCTCGTCTAATGTCACATTCAAGCCTTCTATGATAATTTGTGGCAGATGGATGAAAACGCATTAGACATGATACAGAACATTTAAAGAATTGTGAAATTTCCATTAACAATTAGACAGCAGTTTCTTATTCAACTACATGAGACGTTCAATGTAGGAGTTCCATCACACAATATATAGACCTCCCACTGAATACCAAGAGAGAACTGTCAGACAGGACTGCAGAAGCATCAAGCGCAATTTACTCTTAAAGGGAGACAATAGTGTTGGCTATATTATTATTATTTTTTATTTTTTTATAATCAAAATTGGTTGTAAACTCATATTGGAGCTTTTCATTTTAATTATTTTGTGGGTTCTTTTTCACAGTTCAAATAGATAGAAATTATAAAACGGATGGAATCATTTTCATGACTTGGCTTATACCATTCAGGGACATAGTTAAGCATGTTAATAAACTATGGCTAAAAAGGAGATTGCAGCCATACCATTTCATTACAGCAGTGATCAATCATAGCCAAAGTTCCGCATCACTGCTCAGACTAATGAGGAAGTAGCAGCATGGACAATTGGGGGGGGGGGGTTATAATGTAAACCAATAGTTTAGAATCAACCATATCAAATAAAGTAGTTGACCAGCTTTACTAATAATCTTATATTTAACCATAGCTATTTATGCACTTCAATAACACAGTGGTGTTTATTCGGTGTTAAATCAAATTGTGAAATTTAGGCAAAAGTGGCAGATCTGGCTTTTTTTTTTTTTTTTCAATCCTTTTTGCAAATCCGCTTTCTGTTCACGAAAATTCAGTGTTTAGTGAATAAACCTCACCAAGCTTGACTTCCCATTTCATAGTTCTTTGTTTGTGTTGCATTGCTCACAGTATAATAAGTAAAAAACAAAAATACCATAACATGCCCCTGTAATGTATGATATCAACATTTAACAAAATGTGTTGGCTTTATTCATTAAATGATAAATTGTGGTGCATGTTGACCTATTGGCCTGGTATTTGGACCAAAGTTACCAAGATACTTTCCAACTCTAGCTCTTGAGCCAAAATTCTGCATTTTGGTTGCCACTCCAGTGCAGTGAATAAATCCAATCTTTCTAGTGTTACAAGCAAAGTTGTATATAAATGTGAAGAATGTTTGGAGACTTGTTTTAGATTTAAGTATACTCTTTGGTTATAACGGCAGTAAGACTGGCAAAGCATTATGGGAGTTCGACTGCTGAAGATCTAACCTTAGGCCATGCCCAACTTAAAAGTATTACTAGTTGTTCCAAAGATGCTACCCAACGCACAAGTTTTTTTTTGCTTTCACTTGTCTTTGGGAGGGATGGCGGGGGGGTTTAACACTGCTATTTACTTAGACATCATTATTTAGGAACAAATGTAGTCCTCCAGGGGTTATGTGCCACCAGTTGTTTGTTTGCTTAGTTTTTAGGGGTTGGTGAATCTCCTAATTTGTGACAACTGCTAGAGGCTCCACAATTTTCTATTGTTTTCTATGCTAGTTCAACTCTTTTCTCTTTGTAAATATTATGTATGTAGCATGTTATCCATTTTGTGTAAATTCTAACGCTGTCATGCAATGTTCAGTCTAGCAAACATTTTTTTTTTTTTAAATGTTTTATTTATCAAATTTTATCAAATTACATGTTTGTCTTTTAGAGAAGATATTAGACATAAAACTTTGACATATATGACATACTTTTCCACATCATACAAAACTTTTACTTATGTGATCTTGGTTGGGATATATATTTGTTTCCTTATTTTCCTTCATTTGTCCCTTATATCCTCCCCCTTCCATTTTTATAAAGGGCTACTACTGAGACATGCATCAGAGTTTTCCTTTCTAAAATGAATCTCCTGTGTTTACTTAGAGTTTGCTTTCTGATTCACTCTGGGTTCTTTTTCTATCATATCTGTAGGATGTCTATAATTATATTCCATTTATTTATTTTAGCTATAGGAATTGTTCCTTTTTTACCCAGTTCCATTATACATTGGTATAACATCTGAGACTTAATTTAATTTTGGGATCTTTTCCAGTTTCTTGCTAGGACCAATTTTGAGGACATCAGAATGTGTTATCATCCTATTCTCTTTAGACATTAGGCCAGTCTAAATGTAGTAATAAACTCTCTGGTGTAAGAGGTAGTAACACCCCCAGTAGTGTGTGTGTGTTTTCTGTATATGTATATATGTGTGTGTGTGTGTGTGTGTGTGTGTGTGTGTGTGTGTGTGTGTGTGTGTGTGTGTGGTATATATATATATAATATATATATATATATATATATATTTTCTGATATCCCAACATACTTTTTTAATTAGCCCACATTCCCACCACATGTGAAGATAGTTGCCTTTTCCTATGCCACTGATTTTGATTAATTTATAAAAATTCTCCACAATATTTAGACAGTGTACCGTTGTATTAACCTTATTAGTAGGGATTGATATTGATACCGATAATCTGTGAACTTTCAGGTTGATAGCCGATAACATACCGATATTCTGTACATTTACCATTTTGAAAAAATAAACTATTTCTACACAAATCTACTGTTAACTGAACATGTTTAATTTTTTTTGCAAATTTTTTTTATTAAGCTAAATGCACAAAATATACATGCCTGTTATGTTTCGGGAATGTTAAATAAAAATGGGGGAACACAACTGTAGAATTAATAGGTAGTACTATACCTTTAAGAAAAGCAAAAGGACTTTTACTAGGATTTCTTGAGATTTTATTTTTTATTAATGAAAATAAGTTGAAGACCGTTTCTAATAATTGCAGTATCCACGTGAAGGAAAAAAAGACTTTATGCAATTCTGTTTGCAATTAAAAGGAAAAATAATGTCCTCAATTATACGAATTAGAAATTAGAATGCAGCATAATTAGAATTGAAGAGTGGCACATAGGAAGGAATTATCCTTATATCCTTGCTGGTATATCAGAAGATGAAGACAGCGAGGAGAACAAGGTTGGTGGAAGCACAAGAGGTAGTTCAGCGTTGAGTCATAGGTCGGAACAAAATAACTCAGCGATTTGAGTTTAGCGCAGCTTCCCTATAAGGCAGGTGAGTGGAGTGTCATCTGCAGGGGAGGAGCTTACTTCCGAACTCGGAAGTAACCTCAGAGGAGTGGAGTCACGGTAAGTTTATGACAATGCCAATCAGAATTGTTTGTTTTTATGAATGTGTGTGTGTAATGGATGCAGTGAGAGTATTTGATTATTGAATGCAGTGTGTAATGAATGCAGTGAGTGTTTGTGTAGTGCAGCGTTTCCCAATTGATGTCTAGGGTTCCGCGAGAACAAATTGGGTTTCCACTGCATTTTGCCACATCCAAGATGGCCACCGCTACCTGCTGTTCCCGGAAGGTTGGAAACCGCAGAGATTGCGTAACCGCGACCTTAAGCCTGTCCCGCAGTCGGAACGCCTTGCCGTCAGAGCCCGCCCTGCTATCAGACAGCCACTTAGACTTAGCTCGTCCGTGAGAGAGCCCGCCCAGCCGTCAGCCATTTTTGATCACTCGTGGTAGAGGAGTGATCGAGAATGGAGCTGATAGTTAAACCTCTGTTATTGTCATAGATAGAAATCTCTGTTCGGTAGGGGCATTGCAATTCTCTGCTAAGGCCATTGAAAGGCTCTGTCAGGGGCATTGCAATTCTCTGCTAGGGACAGTAAAAGATGGCCAGGGGCATTGTAAATCTCTGTAAAATACATTAAAAGGCTATGTCAGGGGCAAATAACATGTTAACTGTATTTTTCAAAGTGTTCAAATCTTTTTGCTCCTCGTCTAACTCAACTAAGTTCAGTTCTTTCTCAGAGCGTTATCAAAATCCGCATCCATTTCAGTCAGGTTGTGAGATCTGTATTTTTCAAATGTTTTTTTTTTTGTTTTTTTTAAACCAATAATCAACCATGAATTTGGAAAGCTGGTTAAAGCAGGGAACTCTTTAGAGAGAAATTACTACTTCTACCTGTTCGGCACTTATAGAAACTGAGAAGATACAACTAAAAATCCAGAAAACATGCCCGAAATAGTTGTATCTACTGTTCCTCAAATAGCAGAGACAAATAAGTAAAAAAAAAAAAGCGCACACAATGCTAGCCAATCTTCTTCTCAAACAAAGAAAAGAAAATATGATCATAGCTACTTGTCATTTGGATTCACAAGTGCCAGAAATGAAAATTGTCCTGAAGCACAATGTTTACTTTGCAATAAAATATTGCCAAACAGTTCATTAGCACCTGCTAAATTACGGTGTCATTTTGAGCAAAGCCACGCAGAGTTCAAAGATAAAGACATTGACTTTTTTATGCAAACGGTAAAGGAGTATCAGAAGAGTAAACTTAGCAAAACATTTCAAATTGCTAATGAAAAAGCCACAGAGGCTTCTTACAGAGTGAGTTACTGCATAGCATTTGCCAGAGAAGCACACACACTTGGGGAATTACTAATAAAACCATGTGCAAAAGAAATAGCGTCCTGTATTTTAAGTGAGAAGTTGAGTAAAAAAAAAAATGAAAGCTGTGCCACTATCCAATAACACATTTTTGCGCCATATTCATGATTTTGTTGATGGCATCCATACTGGAGTAATTTCTCGACTGCATCAATGTGATGGGTACTCACTGCAATTAGACTAGTCCACAGATGTTGCAGGACTTTCGATTTTGTTGGTTTTTGTTAGATAGAATTTTGACAGACTGAAGAAGACTTGCTTCTGTGTGAAACTTTGAAAACCCATATCACTGATGAGAACATCTTTAACTATCCAGAAGTTCCTGAACACACACATTATAAATTGGGACAAATGTGTAGATGTGTGCAGTGATGGTGCCAAAGCAATGGCTGGGAAAGTTGCAAGCACTGTGACACGAATAGCTTGGTGCTACTTCTAAGTGCTGTTTCTAAGTGTGTAGTTGGAGATATTCTGGAGATAACCTGGAGGTAATCTGAGGTATTCAGGAGGATAAAGAAAAAAGTTAAGATTTGTTAGATTTAAATTATTCTCATAATTGGAATGGCAGACTTAGTTCAGTGTAACAATTGCTATGCATTTGTTTCACGTTCCACTTTTTGGAGGTTTGGTTGTTGTCTAATCTGTAGACAGTTCTCTATCTTGCAGCAGGAGATTGTATTTTTGAAGTCTGAGATTTGTAAATTATCTGGTGAAGAAACTCAGACTGGAACTGCTGCAAAGCCACTGCCGCAGAGACATGCTAGGAAAGGCAGATGGATTACTGTAGGATCTGGTAGACTTAGAGTTGTGGATAAAAAGGCATTTTGCACAGTCTGTTGCTCTTCATAATTCATTTTCTGCACTTTCAGAGTGTAATGGTGTTGTGGAGAGAGGCACTGAGGCTAGTGGTGTTGAGAGAGGCACTGAGGCTAGTGGTGTTGTGGAGAGAGGCACTGAGGCTAGTGGTATTGTTGGTATTGTGGAGAGAGGCACTGAGGCTAGTGGTGTTGTGGAGAGAGGCACTGAGGCTAGTGGTGTTGTGGAGAGAGGCACTGAGGCTAGTGGTGTTGTGGAGACCGGCTTGGAGACCATGGTGAGGCCTAATAGAAAGCAGTTGTTGTTGGGGGATTCCATCATAAGAGGTGTGGAGATGGACAATGGTGGTCTTGTGAGGTGTCTTCCCGGAGCTACTGCTCACAGAGACAGGAGACGTATCTGTAATATTGTTAAGCAAGCAAAGCAGGAAGGGGAATTGGATGTACTTGTCCATCTAGGGACAAATGACTTCTTGCAATGAGGTTTCAGAGGTTAAGGAAGTTTTTAGTGTTTTTGCCAATGATATACGGCAGGTTGTTTCCACACTGTCATTCTCTGAAGTTCTGCCTGTGCGTAACACTCAGAACGACAGGCGGATGAGTATTAGGGACTTTAACTTGTGGCTTGGTGAATGGTGTCGGGAGCAAGGATTTAGCTTTATTTCTCATGGTAGCTCTGTTTGGAATGGAGATAAGCTGTACAAAAAAGATGGTTTGCATCTTTCTCAAAAGGGAACAAATGTTCTCAGTGAGCAGTTCAGAGGTTTTGCTAGGATGTATTTAAACTAGGAGGGGGGGGCAAAAGGGTGATAAAACATCAATCCAATTGTCCCCCAAAACAAGGACAGAAGGTGCCTGTAGCAAGTGTGTTAAAAAATGATAAGCTTAGAGTCATGTCTACAAATGCTCGCAGTTTAGGGAATAAGATCCATGAACTTGTGGCAATAATGGCAACTGATAGTGTAGATTTAGTCGCTGTTACTGAGACATGGTACAATGAGAAAAATGACTGGGACATAGCAATACCAGGGTACTCTTTATATAGGAAAGATAGGGAAGGCAAGAAAGGGGGAGGGGTGGCCTTGTATGTGAAGGATAGCATAAAATCTAGCCTAATAAAAGTTAGTGAGGCAAACATAGAGTCCGTTTGGGCTACGTTAGAATTTGGTAATCACACAGTAACTCGTGTAGGTGTGATTTATAGGCCCCCAGGACAAATTGAAGAGTTAGATAATCTACTAGTTGAGGAAATAGCTAAAATGACAATGAAGGGGGAAGTTATCATCATGGGTGACTTTAATCTTCCTGATGTAAATTGGAAAACAAAATTAGCTACTTGTGCCAGGAGCACACATATTCTAAACTCCCTACTGGGATTGTCTCTAAAACAAGTTGTTGAGGAGCCAACTCGTAAAGATACTTTTAGTGTTAACAAATGGAGATTTGTATCAGATGTTACTGTAGGTGAAAGTTTAGGATCCAGTGATCATCAGTCAGTGTGGTTTAATATAAGAACAGTGACTGAGTCACACCACACAAAAAAAAGTTTTAGACTTTAGAAAAACAGACTTTTCTAAAATTAGAATATGGGTAGAGGAGTCATTATCAGACTGGAGCAATTTAAATGGAGTCCAAGAAAAATGGGATTATTTAAAAGTTGCACTATTGAAGGCAACAGAAAATTGCATTAGGCTTGTCAGTAAAAGCAAAAAATTCAAGAAACCACTGTGGTACTCCGCAGATGTGGCCAAAATAGTTAAAAACAAAAAGTTAGCATTTAGGAATTATAAAAAAACCCAGAGTGAGGGAGACAAAATGATCTATAAGATTAGGCAGAAAGAGGCTAAGCAAGTTATAAGAGCTTCCAAATCACACACAGAAGAGAAAATAGCACAGTCAGTAAAAAAAGGGGATAAAACATTTTTTAGATACATAAATGAGAAAAGAAAAG